TTCCCAGCCTGCGCAAAACTTCTTCGTTCGTGGTATGCGATGTCCATGGTATTTTAAGTATTCTGCGATATGTCCACATCTCGAAAGCTTCTAGTTTATTAATGGTTTGTGTTTTTAGTGTCCATGTTTCGACTCCGTACAAGAGAGTAGACCACACATAACATTTTGAGAGTCTTAAACGCAGCTCGAGGTTGATTCGTGAGTCGCAAGGAGCTTTCTGAGTCGTACAAAAGAGTTTCTGGATTGTTCTATTCTCGATCTTATTTCTGTGTCTGGATCTAATTTGTTATCTATCCAGCATCCCAAGTATTGAAACCTGCCCACTTCTTCTAGTATCTTTCCATTTATTTGTATTGGTTGTGGGACATTCTTTGATTTTTTAATTACCATTACCTTAGTTTTCTTAACGTTTATTTTCATATCGAACTTTACGCAGGTATTGCTAACGCGGTCGAGGAGTCGCTGCAAACCCACATCCGAATCGGCGGTTAGAATAGTATCGTCAGCATATCTAATGCTGTTTATGTTCATTAACTTTGACTCCCTCTAAGATGTCTGCCAGGGCTCTGTCTTTGTCTTTGTCTCTGTAAATTCTGAATAAAGGTTAAACAGCAAAGGGGACAAGACGCGGCCCTGTCTAACTCCCCTGCCAATCCCGATTTGCTCAGACTTGGATCCCTCTATTCTGATTCTAGCGCTCTGGTTCCAATATAGTTTCTGTATTAGAGTATTGTCATTTTCATCCAGGCCCACGCCACGAAGCGACTCCATGAGCAGATCGTGTCTCACTCTATCGAATGCTTTTTCGAAGTCTATGAAGCAGATGAAGATGTCTCGTTGTTGATCATAGCATTTTTGCGCTAGCACCAGTAGGCTAAACAAAGCCTCTCTCGTGCCCATTCCGCTCCTGAAGCCGAATTGGTCATCTCCAATGTTCGCTTCGCATTTACTAGAGATGCGGTTATGAATTATTTTCATTAGGACTTTTAACGCATGACTCATTAAACTAATTAGACGAAAGTCTCCCCAGTCTTTGGGGTTTGTTTTCTTTGGAAAATTGATTCTAACCATTCTTGAGGTATTTTGCCAGTTTCATAAATGCGGTTATAGAGAGCGACAAGCAGGTCGATGTTTTCTTCGCTTATTAGCTTTAAGATTTCGGGTAATATTTCGTCTGGCCCTGGGCTCTTGTTTGCCTTGAGTTGTTTTATCGCGTACTCTACTTCGGTTTTCAGAATACTTGGTTCTTCCGCGTTCATATTTTTCCCATTTTTGTAGTTTTCCCTCTGTGGAGTCTAATAATTTTCCATCCGAGCTTAATATGTTGTGGACTGCAGTTTTTCTGTTCGTCGCTGTAAAATCTTTCACTTTCTTATGTAGGTTGAAATGGTCATGGCGTCCTTGCAATTCCTCTATTTCCGAGCATCTGTCTTCTATCCAATGTTCCTTAGCACTTTTTATTTTGGTGCGGATTATTCTGTTAAGATGTCTGTATTTATTTATGTCATTAGCGGCTTTACATTCCCTCCGTGAGTCCATCAGATTTCCCCTGTCATCCACTCTCTCCTATTTCTTTTAGGAGTTGGTTTCAGATTTGTTTCAACGGCCCCACTTAAGATGTCATTTATAGCTTTCCACGTGCTATCCACATCAGTGGTAAGGGCAAGGTCCCGAGGTGCTCGTTTAGTTCTTGACTTACTCTTTGTTTTATTGTGACGTCCCTCAGAAGTCACACATCTGGTTTTCCTGGAGGAGTATAAAATTATCTTAGTATAATTAGTAAGTTAATAATAATAATAGGTAATACTGATGGATAAATAACAAATATATAAACAATAACAAACAACGAATACGTATTAAAAGGTATCACAACAAAGAAGATCCTCAATATTGTAATAGGCAAGGCGTAGCAATTTGTCTTTAAGAGAGCATTTGAATTTTGTTTGACTAGTTATCTCCTTCAGTTCGATAGGCAATTTATTATAAATTTTTACGGTCAAAACAAAGGGACTATTTTCTGTACTGAATATCTGAGTTTCTTGAGTGCATATAAAGATTAGAGTTACTTTTTACATACGTGGCACAATTTAGTATGTACATACTAGGAAGAGTCAATAAAGAGTGTTGTGGAAATAGGTTTCGATATGAAAAATTCCAGGGCTTAAACAGTATAGTCCGTAAAATGCGTTTCTGCATCCTAAAGACTTGCTCCGCACGTGGGAAACCTCCCCAACAAACCAAGGCGTAGTTGAGACGCGAATAGACATACGATTTTGAGCTATACAGTTTAGAAACACGTTTCTTTCTTTACATCTCAATTGCGACCGCAATGACGCCAAGCACCGCAATCGTTATTATTCGTTTTAATTTTTCATTTCATTGAGCTTTATCATTACGTTCTCTCTCGAAGGCTGGTGGAAGACGCGAGCGGCAGCCATTTTATAAGCGGCGGAACAATCGCCTCACACATATTATATCGGCCCAGATACGACGTGAAGTGAAACGCGTCCATCGCAAAGAACGTTAGAAAAAAAAATGTAAGAGGTGGATCGAGCAGTTTGTTGATGCATCCGATCAATTCATTGTTTAGGAAGAAATCACGATGTTTTTCTAACAATTTCATTGTTTTTACAAGCGGGGCAATTGATTACGACGTCTCTCAACATGGTTTCCAACGTTTTCTTTAATTTTGTATAACGATAGGATCAGATTAATGGTTGCAACGAAAGAGAAACGTTTAGGGTACTCGTTGGTATTTTCGTTCGAGACGAAGTGAATTGTTTAGATGTTTGGCGGCGGAAAAATCGGTTATTTCAACTGCTTCGCACCTAGTTTTCCGTTAAATTCGGTGAGTCACAACGTGGAAGTGAAAAGAAACAGTTCATGATACACTAATTAAATCAGATTTGACCTAGGTCTACTTAACTTCGAAGATCTAAGGCGGACATTTCATATAAAAAAATGTCTGTAAAAAGCTGAACTTAAAAATTATATTTCAAAATAAACATTTTCTTCTTCTTCATCTTTAAAAATGCTTCCACGTGACTCCTTAGTCCTGGCACATTTTAACTGTTGTAATGGGTTCTATTATTGTTATATAATAGCTGCAGATAGGGAACGTATACAAAAAATGCAAAATTTAATTAAAAATTTAAATTTAATTCAAAAACTTCACCCTATCTTGATAATAAGTTTTAGAACTGATTCTCAATATTAGACACACAAGCACATAGTCGTGTCTTATCATAAATCACCGTAATATTTCGAAGATAATGTTCACATAATACTCTTTGAATGGATTTTGTAGTAGATGTTTACTCTATATCAACATGTAAATTTCGTAAAATTTAAAGGTTTTCTGGCTGAACTGCAACCAGTGTGCCAGTGTGAAACATCCCGCTGTTTGCAGGGCTCCTAAAAATTTGACATTTCTTTGACTTGAAGGTGTCACAGAGGAAGCAAGAAATAAGCTTAAGCCTAATACATACATATACAATACGTATGCAAATTTGAGATGTAAGGTCATACCAAGTTTTAATTAAAAATTCTTCGCTTTCGAAAAACACGGTTACTTTTCAAAAATCTTCAACCAATATTGGTTCAAAATATTGTAAAGCTTTTGTATTGCGATTACAGTCTAATAAGGTGCAGAAATTAAAAGAGATTTGATTTTCCCTCAATGTATTATTTTATTCAAACTGAAAATGAAATATGCCCTTTGAAATTTAATATAAAATAAATTTTCTACCGACGTGCTAAGGTTATAAATATATATATATATATATATATATATATATATATATATATATATATATATATATATATATATATATATATATATATATATATATATATATATATATATATATATATATATATATATATATATATATATATATATATATATATATATATATATATATATATATATAATATAATATAACCCAAAACTGGCAACCCAAGGCGTTTGCGCAACTTCATATACGGAGTGTTTTTGCACCTTTTTTGATATTTAATTGATGTTATACATACAGTGTGTATTGCTTATTGTTTCAACCTAATATCATGCTCCACTATTTAACAGATGCTATATGAGAAAAAACTGTTTCAGTGCCTTTTAGTCAAGCAAAAAAAGAATTCCTTAACATTCATTTCGAGCTTCATGGAAATTAGTACGGTTATTTCCTTGGATATTTGACACCAAAAACTAGTCCCAGGTGGCCATGACTTGAGATTGATGTAAAAATCAACATAAGGTTTTAGTGCGTTTTTGAGACATCTATCCAACAAAAAACATTATCAAAATTAGACCCTAAAGAAAGATGTTATTTATTTATTTGTTTATATTTCACAAGCCATTCAATATCATAATCGGGAAAGTGAGCAATAGATGTCATATCTCTACAATCAAAGCAAAGGTTAGTTTCAAGTGACTTCAAATTGTAAAATTTTTAGTTTTCTTTGTACGAGCAAACGTGTCGACCTCTGTTGTATCTAAAGTTTAACTTGTTAAGAAGTTATTTTTCTATAAATAGAATTCCAAACTGGGGTAGTACAGACTTTATCATGCGATAATACACGATTATTACTGACTGATGATATCACTAAAAACAAAAAAGTTACATCCAAATGTTATCAAGATAAATTGAACGCACGTACAAGCGATATTTCAAACACCCTGTATTCAAACATTAATTAATAGTATATCTTTATTTTTGATAATTACATATACAAAAAATCGAATCACAGAAAAAGAGTTTACAAGGATGTGTGGTTCTTCATTGAGACGCACTGTATATACAGTTGCACAGTGTAATTTTGCTGCTTTTACAGATCGTCTGATACAAAGTGATGCTGACACCTAAGTCATATTAAACAAATATATGCGTTAGTAAAAATAAATATAAAGTAAAAGAAGAAAAAAAAAGATTTCCAAATGTTGAACACGGCAGAATGATGGGCAGAAAGTTCCTCAAAACTTTTGGTTAATTTTTACCCACCTCGATGACAGACGAATAATGGTATCACTTATTGGTCCACATTGCACTGTATCTGCAATTTGCGAAACACTTTAACACACTAAGTCATCCCGGAACAACTGTGAATTCGTCTACCACCTGTTGGCTATAATACCCATTGAGAAAAACACCATTTTGCACTCCCTCGCACACTCTGACGCGTTCGACTCCAATCGCAACGAGAAGGCGAGTAAAAATTGAGCACGAAGCACTTCGCGAGTTGTTATAAACATACGAAAATCTTTCGGAGATCTGAAAATCTAATTTCGTCCAGATTTATTTTGAGATATACCTACATTCAACTCGCGCGTATAGCCGGTGTCAGTTAGTGGCCCCAGTGTGGGGAAAGGTGGGTCAATAGACCATTTTCGCTTTTTCCATGGACTCGCGAAGACTTGAGATTTTTACAAAAACGCTCTTGGTTTTTTCCACGGTGTTCATGGCGGGAAAGGTATTATTTTGCGAAGGAGAATAATGAAATTTCGTAAACATCAAATCGAACAAATTTGAATAACGAAGGAAGGTAAAATATACTTAAAAAAAAAAACAGATAAAAATGCTAAAAAATATGGTAGGTTATTGAGTATTGTATACAGAAATAGATACTACCAAATTGTTAAGCCACCTACTCGAATTACATACAAAAGTGAAACTCTGATAGATTATATAGTAACCAAAGATAAATATCTGGAACATAAAATACATCTGTCAATAGAAATAGAAAATACAAGCAACGACGTCTTATTGGAAGTGAAATACAGATGCATGAAAAATTACAATAGTCACTTACTGCAGCAATCGTTTCTTGAAACATCCAAACCTAAGCAAATGTGTCTGAAGGTAAAATTGTAAGTTCAACATAAATTTCAAAGCAAAAAGTGGATAACCCCTGTTATGATGTATCAAAGAGACGATTTGCATAAAAGAGCAGTACTTGAACAAAATGATGATACCGTGCGTACAAAAAAGAGAGAAATCGCACTGTAAGCTTCATCAAATTAGAAAAAGATAGATATTTTAAAGATATTATTGATATAAATAAAACGAACTCTAACTTCCAAATAAAAAAGGTATTCTTCACGATGAGTTGCAGTTTGGCCAGCGAACTGTTCCATTTACGCAAGTCATAACTAATAAATTTAATAGGTGTTTTATAGACAGTGTTAAAAATATTTTGAGTGGCATTCCGCCATCCCAGGCTGTGAATGATATCACCGATAATATACCATCTTATGGAGAAATAGATCAGTTTAATACCATAACTACTCAGCACCTTAAAAAAATAAGAAGAGAATTAAAAAATGTGACTGGTGATGAGTGTGGTATCTCAAAGCGTGTATTGATTGATGCCTGTGCAGTTGTTGGACATTGTGAACACCTCCCTTACGAGTGGAATTTTTCCGGAGGTATGGAAGACATTAATGGTGATCCCTGTAAAGAAGGTTCCCAACATCAATCTATGTCAATTAATAATAATTGTGACGTAAACAATATTTTAGTGCCTAACCAGTCGGGCTTTCACTCCAAACATTCACGTGAATCTGACGTTGTTATGTCTGTGACGATTTCCTGAGGGCCTTGAAGGATGGTAAATTTGTGTTGGCTGTATTCTTGGATTTTAAGCGTGCTTTCGAAACAATAAGTGGAACTAGACTGTTAAGAAAATTGTACAAAATATAAAAATTGATTGCATAACTGTAGAACTTGGTGTTCCTCAGGGGACAGTTTTGGGACCATTGTTGTTTCTTATGTATATAAACGATATTAGAGTAATTACAGATTGTTCAAAAAAATAGGGCCTTAAGAAATATACTAAACAGTGTGACAGATATACGCTAATTCAAAGCTTATTGAGTGTTCTTAATTTCTTGTCTGTAAAACAAAAAATATGTATTTATTTTTGAAATTAAACAGCAGTGTGTTCCCAATTATGTTTGTGAAAAAGTTACCTATTTCAGAGATATTCATTCTTACAATACAAGAAATTATGGTAATTTTATGTTGAGAGAATGTGATTCTAGTCATTGTACAAAACTCTATATTACATAAAGGCCTAAACCATTTTAACAATTTACCGGATACTCTTGATACTCTTGATAAATTTAAAAGTCTTTTAAGACGCCATGTATTGTCCAAATTCTGATTTCTGTGTGCTTAGCTCTTGGTTTCCGTTTATCTGGAATTTTATATTTTATATTTTGTATTTTTTATATGCTAAATAAAGATTATATTATTATTATTACGAAAATAGCTGGAAGCTGCGTTACCTGGAATAAAACAGAAAATTTCAAAACAAGGTTTTAATGATGAAAATGCTTCCGAATTTAATATGTCTTGGTTTAGTTTGTTAGTTCGTTAGGGAAAACATTTTAAAACAAATGCGCAAAAGCAGAATATGTAAAGTTATTATCCAATAACAATAGTAATGCCAACGCCACGTATGTTTATTTAAAAGCTATTTGAATATCTGTTATTATTTAAAAAGTTCCAAAGAGGTTTTTATTTTCTTTAAATGAAATAAAGTATTACGAAATGTTCGAAAAGCAATATATTTTTACATTTTTTTATAAATGAATTCCATAAGTTAATATGTTGCAGTTGTTCAAGTCCATAACTTAAAAAAAACTTACAAGAGAAAATGACCAAGTTCTCCTGATATCATTACCCAAAACTCCGCATTTTGCATAGTGCGGTATGACGGGAAAACAATTATCACAGCCGCACAATCCAAGACAGGAAAAAATAAAATTTCAAATGCTTATAATTTTCACCAGTGACGTACAATGATTTTATCAATCTTAAAGAACTCAGCAAATCAACAAAAAATACGATTCGAGACGAATGCGGTCAAAGAGTGGATTTACTGAAGATCAAACAACTCCGATATGAAAAAGGAACAAAAAAATTAATATTGTTCAGGTACAATTACGATGAAGAATACAAAGTTCTGAATGTAAGAGGAAAAGTAAAGTGTAGACCCAGTAGTACGTGAAAAAATTAGATTTAAGAAAGTGCTACTCAGAACCGTTGCCAATATCCAAAAACAAAAAGGGTGACATGAACTTGCCAATAATTCCATAAAAGACAAATGCCCCGAACCTGCACAAGACGAAAGCAGTGATGATGAAGTATAATTTTAGGATTATTTTAATGCTACTTACTTTTTCTTATTAGCAATTATTATTGTTTACTAATTTGATATTTTCGTGAATTTTTTATTTAAATAGTTAATAACTGTTAGGTGAACAAATTGATCTTAATTTCTTTTCAATATATTATGACTAATAAAACAATACACATTTTTTTTTATTATAGTAGTAGATTCACAAAAACCTACTTTCAATATGTATTTCCACTAAAATAAACTTACAAAAAATAATTGAATTCTTCAATCTTCAAATATTAATAGCTTAAAACTGTTAATATTGGACATTCACTTTCTCTTGTATACCGACGAAACTTTTTTTGGTGTTCTTTCTCAAATTGGCATAAAACTCGAAGATTTTGAGAGAAAAGCTTAAATCTCTATCATTATAAAGAAAAATTTGAGCAAAAAACTTTTTTTACGAACGAAATTCGCAATTTATCGCTGTTGAAATCTGACGTCGGAAAAATAAATATTTTATTATCATCTCGACTGTGTCAATTGCAATTTTTTTTTATGTCGTGTGCGTTTCAGTCCGTAGTCACGCGACTGCCGGTCGGTCCTTTGCGAACGAAGAAGGGGTACATGCACGTATCAAAAGGCACGATATACGGGCGAGACTTGTTTTGTATTAATTTCCAGGCATTAGCAAAAGACACGCAATGCGATAAAAGGGCAACAACTCTATAGAGAATTTTTTTTATTAGCTTCTTTTGCCGACGGAGGTAGTAACGAAAGCGGTGTTGTTTCTTTATTGATGTAAACTAATAGTATACTACGACCAAAAATATAATGCATTTATTGCTTTGACGTTTTAAGTATGTTACAGTACCTTAACCGCAGAATCGTGGTAAAACTCATTAAGTAACTGCATTAAGTACGCCTTGCCTGAGATGGACCGTAAATGGACCGTCCTTAATTTGATTAAGATTAATTTGATTAGAAGGGTGTATTTCAACATCAGGTGGTATCGTTTTTAAGAATTTAATCTAAATTGCAATATGTTCGTCTATATTACGGAGGTATTTGACTGTGATCCTTCCAGTAAGTACCTGATTGTCGAGCTTTGGCCCTGCGAGGCTGTTTTCGCTGGATAGTTCAAAGGATAAGGGTACTCTATTTATCTTACAGGTAAGTTTGAAAATAATCATTTTTGTCTTTATTATTATTATTATATTTATTAGAAATTACAATTAAACGTTTTCTATTTTTCTATATTCTGATTTTTAACACTTTAAAATGTGGAGACCGTGGAACGATGCAGGGGTGCCATCCATTTGTTTTCGGATGTTAAACAAATTATTTGAATGTTTACAATTTTATAAGAAATTCGGAAGAAGAATAGAACGTAATAAATTGTTACTTTGTACTAATTTTTTTATGTACATGTTTCAACAATTGCTCGAAAACATACTTATATCCCTCTTGTTAGTCTGTTAGGACGGTCCTGGAATGGTTACGGGCAAGGATCTGCTTGACAGGGTGTTCTATAAGGGACTGCGGTTTTGGAGTAATAAACAGTAGGCAAAGATAATCACGGGCTCGGTTGTAAAAGCACTATATTTCTGGTTGAAGTATATGCGCGAGATTAAACTGATTTATTTCTTTATTATTGGTCTCAACACTATTACTACGCGCTTAATGTTTCCAATCGAGAGTCATGAATTGTGAAATGTGGAAAAGGATATCTGTGGACGTGGTTTTTATTTATTCGTTTAAAGAAGAATTTTTAAACGAAAAAAAAATGAAAAGCTTATCCCACACGTGTGTTTTTATAACATTTTCTTTATGAAAATGGGAAATGAACAAACAAATAATCGAACATTGAACTGAGGTGGCTTTTACTTGATGAAAATCCATTTATCAAAATAAATAATCAATTCTACAATTTCTTTTTCAACGCCTATTAAAATATTAAAATGCCCTCTTTGTTAATTTTACTTTTTTTAAAAACTACTAAAAACGACCTAAATGCCGAAAAAATGAATAAAAAAAATATTGTAATAATTAAAATGAAGTTGCATACAAGCAATTTTTTAAAAGCCCAAGGGGCCCTCAGTACCCACTCGCATATGGTTTTCTGCCATTTAATCCAAAACTGCAACTACTGATAGCGTAACAATAAAAATTTACAAGAAGAGAAATTAATAATAAAAGAAATCTTCATCATCAAAAAGTGTTATTAATGGGGAACATGCCATCACAAACGGAGTTTTTACTGACGATATTGTGTCCGAGTATCCTCTAAAACAAAGGGAGGGCACTTAAAAGGGGGTTGTTCAATTAAAACAATAAAACTGGGATATAGGTTAATATGGGTTAGAACATTAAATACACAAAAACAATTAAACAATCGGAGTGCATAGGAAAGCTTAGCAAGATGGCTTATTGTTAGTTGCATTAAAAACGAAAATATGCCGGCATTAGATTTAGGACACTATGTTGGTTTGGACATAGTTATTGCAGAATAATTTAAATCAGAGAACAATTGTGATATAGAACCATTAGTGCAAAAGACTAATCAACTATGGGGTCACGCAGTACCAGATAAAAAGTGCAACTTTTTGATGCAAAAAAAAAAACATTGTTAAAAGCAAGGTGACAAATGGGGCAACAAAAGACGGAAAATGAGCGAGCATAATTCAATTTAGTACGTCATGGAATGTTCTCCCTTAGTAACACTTTGTGGGGTTCTATTTATGGACGAAAAAAAGCTACTTCTCTTCTATCATCACCATCAGTGTCATGTCAGAGCGATAATCTAAACAGACAGAACTCAGAAAGGGAGACTCCAAGGCGTTTTATATAAGTGTTGTAAAGTTACGGGGGTTTTTGCGTCGTGAAATAAAACGTCAAAGCAATAAGCTATATTTTTGGTCGTATTATACGTCTGTTATTTACAGTATTGTCAAGTGCTTTTTTAAAATCTTCAATTCTTCCTGCGTTCATGCCCCTCCTTCAGCTCCGCCTCCCTCAAACAATATACAGTCGAAACTCTATATAGCGAAATTGAAGGGACTGCTTTTTTTTTCGTTATAAAGAATTTTCGTTATAAAGGGTTATGAGTACTTGAAAAATAACAATACGCATATGTGTTCTGTAATATTTAATTATTTTATATACATATTTTAACATTATATATAAATATTTAAGAACTAAATTTAATGTTTCAAATAATCGGTCATTTTCTTTTGAATTTTTTTAGTATGCTAATACGCTTGGCTTATATTTTCACCGTCTTCCCCATGATACATAAAAAATTTCTCTAGCAGCTTAACTGAATGGTTGCTAGTGGTCCCAGATCAATTTCTTTATCTTCTTCTTCCTCTCGGTGCTCTTCCTCACCTTTTCGTGCTTGTTGTAATATGGCTTCCTCTCTCAAGTCTGCTGCTGTTGTAGGCAAATCCTGCTCTCCGTCTGCCGCAGTGGTTCCGTCTGCCGTCGGAACCACTGCAACATTGCCCGATCCAAATCTTCAAATATTGGCTTTCTTAGTTTTTTACTAGAACTGCCTGCCGCTTCAGCCTGAATGACCTTTTTTCTTTGAACTTCCAAATCTTGGATACAGTCGACGGTGTAAGTCCGTATCGACGTCGCACATCACTTTTCCTCTCCCCCCGTTCTATCTGCCGAATTAAAGCAACTTTATAATCTAGAGATCAAATTTTTCCCTTGCTCGCCGTATTCACTAAGTGTGTCCTTTTTTCTTTCGGTATAGAGAGTGAGAAACTCTTTATACAGAGTGGATTAATACATAGTTTTGTAATATTACAACAAATTTTGTTCGAACACAGTTTTACGTTTTTTAGAAAACTTCGGATGAAATCCACGTGTGATAAATGTTGGCCTTTTAGTTATTATACAGGGTTTGTTCAATACTGACTTCGTTACTTTAATTTTGGAACATCTTGCGGAATAATTACGTTTTCATTTTTTTAAACAACTATTCAATTTCTAGAGTTTGTTTTTTTGCTTCTTGTCTTTATATGTATATTTAAATTGGAACTTACAGCAAGGGCAAAATGTTCTTTTTACTAACGAAACCAGACCCTGCTTACATAGTCCAGTCTCCATCTGAATCATGGAGGAGGTTTATTTATGGTTGTCATCCCGGGATCGTTGACTGCTCACCGATATACCGAATGATGCATTGCGGAAGGGAACATAGGAAATCCCATGCAAAGTTTTAGGTGCCAAAATATTAGCAACCCTGTACATTGTATGGCAAAGGTCTAATATAACTTGATTATGATTAACTCATATGCTGACTTTGAATAAATTTTAATAAGCCAATATTCAGTTATTGAATTAAATATGATGGCAAAATTGCAAGAGGTGTCAATGCAACAAGCATCAGCAAATATTTTCCATGACGCATGAAACTGGACGCCGTCAAGCTGGACAATTACATATCAATTAAAGGTGGTTTAGAATGAAAACATGCACATTTGCATCCACGCATTCAAAATAAACTAAGTATTTAGATATATCATTATGTTTTTCTTAGGATCAAGCTCATACTCGGTTCTTACCACACGTTCTTGGAATGAATTTCATTTAAGGGACGGTTTAAACTACCTAACCATACGGGAATTATGGACGGGGACAAAAATCCATCTGGTACCACCAGATCTGGTTATCTTCGCGAACAACTTCTTCTAGTGCGGGTTCAATAAGTCCAAATAGGTTTCTGTCATGAGGTTATAGTCCGCATATTCCCACCATAACATTTATTTATTGAGGATATTGGCATTGAGTATGAACAAAACCACATCCATTGTCTTGGTTCCAATACCAGCAGTTTTGAACATTTGGTTCGTTGTTAAGTGTGAATGTATGTACATTCATCAGTGAAACAGATATTTTTTCCATCATTTCAAAACAAAATGGTACTCTTTTTTCTTCACCGCCTGCCAGGAGCTTTTGGTGCCTTTCGTATATATAGGAAAAATATTTGTGTTTTTTTATTGTGCTCGATACTGTGGTTTGATGTTTATTTACAGCTCATCCAAGAATCCTCGTATTAATCACTTTGTTTCCCTCCACATGCAGTAAAATGTTTGACTCTCTATTGTCCCTTTTTTCTGCTTTATTTCCAACATTTTCAGCTGAACATTTATTACGGTGCTCTTGGACTCGAATTGGGTAATGATATATTTAATTGTTGAAATCGAAGATATGGTTTTAGCAGGGAATTAAACTGAGAACATTTCCTGCATAATATCACTTAATTATGGTTACTTTTTCTTCAAACGTGTAAGAATCACAAATAAAAATATTGTTAATGTCACTAATTTTCGTGTTGTCACTCTCAAATATATTTTACTGGTGTTTATTGAAGATTGGCTTATTAAAATGTATTCAAACTCGGCACATGAGTTAATCATACGGCCCCTTCAAAATATCATATTACAATTTTGCTATAAAATGTACAGGGGAGCCAATATTTGCCCACCCAAAAATTTACATAGGATTTCCTATGTATGACAAGATATTAGTAATGACTGGCCAGCATGTTCTCCAGATTTCAACCCCATAGACCATGTGTGAGATAGGCTAGGTAAACCAGTCAAAGAGTTCGAAGTAGGTCCCGCTAGATGGAACGGCAAAATATTCCTCCTAACTTCGTTGGCAGTAAGGCAATTGCAATATAAGTTTAATTTTGTTGTAAAAAAATGTTTCTTTAGGTTAGTTAAGTTGAAGTTAAATAGATTTCCTAAAAAATAAACAAATTTCGTTTAATATAGTGCTCTTAAACATGAACCGATGCTCATAAGGACATGGACCAAAAAACAAACCAAAGAAAATAAATGGTTCTTAACGAATCTTTAAAACAAATGGTAACGTAATTATTCTACACAGTCATGAAGTTACCATTCAATTAATCGTGTATAATGACTTCATCTAAGTTTTTTTACAAAATTTATGAAAATGAGCCCAAAAATAAAAAAGTTGAGAGTTCTGAAATTTTACTAAAAATTTCATCCTGTGAGTCTAGTTAATTTCTATGTATTTTTAAATATAACTTTTAACGAAAATTAATATAAACAACATACAAAATAATGGTTTATTTCGGACAACCGTTTCTTTTTTCAAGCTCGACTGTTTATTTTAAAGTAGGTATTGTATTTTGCCGATAAAATAAAAATCAGTGTCCAGCATTCGCCGGCGTATGGAAAAATGCAGATGTGTTTTTCTTGGATCAAAGATCGTCCGAAATCGCTATCGCATGGGGTCGTAAAAGGCATATAAGTCAAGCCGTGTAAATATTAGCTTTCGGGTATGCTGGCAGGTAAAAACGTTAGCATATAATTAAATAAAATTTATTTATAGGTTTATGCGAAGAAGTGTTTAAAACCGGCATTTTCGTTTTTTTTTTAAATGCAAGCTAGTCCCCACCAGACTGGGTACTCTTTTTATGCATTTCTCTTTCCTTTTCAATTTCTATAATTAAAGAAGTATAATAATAATAAGTTTTTTCTGTCAACTTACACCTTTACAACTTGTGAGTCTTTAAGTGTTTTTTTTATTTAGTTTTTATGTATCTTTTATAATTTTATTCGGTATTTTACATGTAAAGATTTTATTATTATGTTTAAAGCAACTTATTATTATTATTGTTAACTTTGTTCCAGTTTACGCTAACCTAGATGAAGATGAAGACTACGGCGACGGGGAAGAATACGAAGACGAAGATTTTTCCAACTTGAACTCCACTTCAAACGGTAAGTTACTGGTCAATCTAATTCACTGACCTTATTGACCTTGTTGTTATTGTTTTGTTGTTTCCTTTTTTTAAATCTATTTTAATCATTTTCTAAGATTCGAAAACAGGGGTGGTTTGGGCTAGATTCAAAAAACCCTAATTCTATTTCATTTATAGTAATTTTTATGATTTATAATTTATTTTTATTTAGCAATTTTCCAACATTATATCGAATATAATTATTGACATTACTTCTTGTTTTCGTAGATACTGTTCAACTTGGGTAATTCCTGGTTTGCGAATTCTTCTTTCCTTTTAAGTTTCTTTTTAAAAGCCTTATACTTTCAACCAACAATATTTCATGTACACCGTGTGCCAAATAAAATGATTGGCTATATGGTCTGGAAATCGATAGGAGATACGAAAAAAAAATTCGTACAAAAGTTTCGAGGACTCTCCTGAAGGAGATACAGGAACACCTTATATATTTAGACATTTTTGGAATCCTTGGTTAAAATAAAGGTCACATTCTTAAGAAATTTCTATTCGAATTTTGAATAGCTTAGGCAGAAATTGAGGTTATGTGTTGTTTTTCATATTTTGATTATCCCATATAAAATTGTGTTTTAACGCTACTGATACAGGTGGTACTGTAACGAAAATTTAGCCACAGACTAAGGAGATGATGCACTACTCAATCAGCTTGACAAGTGCGCCTCAGCTTATATAGAGTGTCACTAATTTTTATTTAGATATCAATTCTAGTACAAAAAATAATGTAAGTTTGTCGTTTATTTTAAGGTTTAAGAATATAAGGTGTCCATTAATAGGTGGAAATTTTGAAATATTTAATAGTTAGTTATCTAGTTTGATTGAAAATAGCTAATAACAAAAATAAATAAAGTTATCCTTTAAAGTGTCCCACAAAAAAAAGTCCATGGGTGCAAAATCGGAACTTCGCGGTGGCCACGCAACGTCCCCATTTTTACCAATTATATTTTGGAAATTTACTCTTAAAAAATTTATCACTATATAGCCACAATGATAGGTCGCGCTATCTTGCTGAAATATAATGTTGTCCCGCAACGTGTGGAGCAGGTTGCTTACTTCTGGCATTATTGTATTTTGAAGTAAAATTAAATTGTTCTGTCCTTTTAAATAGCTTTCAAATGACATGGGGCCAACAATTCTATATCCCTTATAATACCGCACCACGCCACCACGATGGCCCTGCTTATTAATTTTTTTCACTTATTCTATTGTGAATAATAGTGGCAATTTTTTTTATTGTGCATGTCAGACGCCTCATCGATCCAAAATATTTTGTTAAAAATGTCCCTCTCAAATGTTCGTCCATCATGACTATGCAGAAGTTTCTTCTGGCATCAAAATCATGGTGAAACAAAATTGAAAGAAAAAGTATAAGGTTTTATTTTGTTGCCTTTTAAAGTACGTGGTACAGCTGAAACGGTTAGGTCTAGGTTCCTGCTGGCATTTCGCAAAGAATTTTCGTGAAGTATAATATTACGTTCAATTCAGTTTCTTCTGATAAAAGGATGTTCGGTTTCTCCCTTTTGCTATATGTTTTAGAACACCGTGATTGGAACAATTCTCTTAAATATTTTTTTGGCGATATTTTAACCCTCGGAAACTTTCTTTAATACTCCCTTAACGTTAAGACTGTACCATTACCAGGTAATATTCATACAATTTTAGCCGTTCCTGGGCTTTTTTAAAATACAAATGAAATATGTACTAATAAAAACTTGACATTTATGAACTTCTAAAATATAAATATGAAAAACAACAAAAACAAACCGCAACGTAAAAAAAAAAGATTGTGATGTCATAGCCAACTACATTTCCAAATATTTTGGTATATCCCTTTTTTAATCAAACTTTATGGACTGAATTAACGAACTCTTTATATTTAAATTTTTTTTTTATAGATTTATTTTTTCAAATTTCTTACCTTTATTAGTTAGCCTATAAAGTTTAATTATTTATTTTTGTTATTGGGTGTTTCCAATGAAGCTAGATAATTAATTAATACATTTTTCTTTAAATAAGAATTCTGAAGTTTTATTAAATCTGTTAAAATGTGTGGTATAGAATCGTTTTTTTTTTCAAAATTTCCACGTATTAATGGACGCTCCGCATTGTTTTATTCGTATATCTGGTGTATTATTTCTTTAAAAGAAGTAGAATTATATCTGTAATTAACTACTCGGGACGACCGTTGCCTTTTTTAAAAACTTTATTTAAATTTACAACCGTTTAAAATGGTCTGTTACGATAACAGAACTCCCCGTCGACACCGTTGAACTACGTTTTTATATGTAGAAATAAGACTCTGTTGGGTCAGCATTCTTGGATCTTCGCTAGTGAGATAACTCCTCCCCCGTAAGCTTCAACTATACCGTTAAGAGGATCACACACATTTTGGATCTTTAGGTTCTTCGACTTCTTGCTGCTGTTTCTTGCTGGATTTGGCGCATCTTGGCTGTAACAATCCTCTATAGCAAATAAATAGACACAAACTGATTATGACCATGTATACAAGAAAGGTCCATATGCTCGGATGTTTGTAAAACTCCGAGAACTTCAGAAGCGGGTAATTTAACTGAATTTCATTCCTTAAAAGGTTGAGTTCATCTAACTGAACCGCATTTAATTTGTTGTGTTGTGTTGGAATATCTGGCAGATCAGGAAATAATATTGGCTGAGTACTGACTGAGATCTGACATCGCTAATTATGATCAATTTTGACGAGGCATCCTCTTGGAATTTTGGCTTGGTATGTCCCATGAGGATTCTGAATCTCATCCAGAGCGTTGCATTTAAGTTTAACGCTCTATACATCTGAGACTACCAAAATCCATTGATTGGAATTTTCTAGTTGATTAACTATTATCTGGGTGATTTTGAGTTGTGTTTTGTGGCAATTTGTGATTTGTGGATTTGTGCTCAACAAGGCTATTTCCCAAGGACTGCTGTTATCGTAATTCTTGATTTCTTGTTGGGTCTAAAGACATTCTGGGGTCTGCCAAAAACATGTGAATTTGTGTAGTATTTTTGCGGGGGGTCTATAAACTGGACCGGTGGGAAATGCTTGTTGCTGATATCTAAAATGATTTGGGTTATGTCCATTAAATTGCATATTTTCTTTGAAAAGAAATTTGTTTTAAATTCTGAGGTGGCTGATTTTGAACTACTTTGGTCATATTTTGAAAATATTGCGTGTTACTTTCTCGCATTACAAATGTTAAGGCTTTCGACAGGCTATCAGGTTGCATATATCTAATGGTTGTACGAATAGGTTGTTTTAAGCCTGACAAAAATGTTTTCAAAGCAAGGTCGTTATAAAGTTTACGTTTTATTTATCAATAAATGAACAAATCAAATTTAGGATATATAAAACTCGATCGTAAAATTGAGTCGGTTTTTCATTTGGCTGTTGGCGGGGCATCACTAAATCTCTGTTAAGACATGATTCGTCTCTTTGGTCCGCGAAATTTCTATACAAAATATTTTTTAAATCATTCCAAGTACTGGATGTTTGAAGATTGATCACGACTTTTGCGTTTCCTTTTAATTTACTACTTAGACAATTCAACATTATAAAATTTATCAATAAAAGTTTGACAAATAGTTAGGTATCTAGATAAATCTTTGGGTTCCCATCGAATTCTGGGACACAGTTGAGATATTCGGATTTAAAAGAAGCCATACATATATATATATATATATATATATATATATATATATATATATATATATATATATATATATATATATTGTATTTGATAAAGACACGGTCTTCCTAAAATCATTAAAAACTGTGAAAATCTGAACATTTTTTTGTTCTAATTTAATTGTCCTATTTCTTCCATCTTTATTCTAAATTAAACAGAATAAATTAAGAAAACCGGCATCGTAATTACGGTAGCGTTGCTACATATATTTGAGAATGTTTGTGCGAAGTTTCTATGTGATGCAGCTTTGTGTCCACCGTTTGACGTCTTCGTTTACTTGGTAGGAACGTTGGTTATCGTCAAGGGTCTGACAAACATCACCCGAGACCCCGGAAAGACCGCCAAGATCGTTTGCGAAGTACAAAATTTAGATTTAAACAGCACGAACAAAGTTACATTTATATGGAGGATAAACGAAGTGCCTGTGACGACCGAAAGCAATCGGATTAAGGTTAAGAATTTCAAGGTAAATGGCGATTCGTGCGCACCAGCCAGCTTGGTGTGTGGGTGTTTTTTTTTTAAGCTGCCCCTATTTAAACTTGCAACATTTAGGAAAAAGACGGCAGATGGAGGTCGGTCTTGCGAATCTCGAAGTTGGAATTCTTCGATCAGGGTTTCATCGAGTGCGTGGCCAGTAACGGGGTGGACCGGATCAAATCGAGCTGCGCACTGCTGGTCAACCCCGAGTCGTACAAGTGGGGTGAGTCGCGTTCAGTGCCATATCCAATATGCATATTTACCAAAACAGTATCACATTTCAAAAAAAAACGGCGGCCGCATAATAGGCCTCCCGATAATAGGGAACTCAAACAAATTGCTTTTAGAAGGAAGTTTATACTATTAAAAGAACCACAGTTCGCAAAAAAAATAATTTCCTAGTTCTATGCAACAAATATAAGCAATTAAACATTGTAAAATTTAAATCCGACTTGAAACGCGCTGTCATTGGCTGTGACCGGCTGTGACGTCGATTCGCTCGTTAACCCATCTTGTCCCAGTGGTGCGTTAATGCACCATCTATTCTATGATTTTTTTTTGTCACATCCAGGAAATATTTTTGCACATCCATTTCGAAATGCTATTATTATCACTACTAAAGGACATAAAACCGTAGAAATCGCTGATTTATGTGTAAAGGAAAGGTGTAAATTTGTATCACATTTTCAAATAAATCCAAAATAGTAAAAAAAGATATTTTGGATTTGTATTGCCATTTTTGTTAAGTCTATAGTATGTAGATTACATCGCAGAAAACATACACTGGAAATACTATATTGATTATGCTTTATTTTTTGAAAGTGGTGCGTGAATGCACCACTGGTTTTATCTGTAAAACAAAACTTTGTTATTGCAAGTCTAGACAAGTCAGCACATGTAGAATAAACATCCAACAATTAGCGTGTTCTTTAGTATTAGTTTGTGCCTTGTGCAGTGGACGTTACAGTTCGTAAAATATGGAATTTCCGAGGAATTTGACTCAAAAGGAATTAGAGGCGGCTATGGAGGAGATCGTGATGGATGAGGACAGCAACACTGAAAGTGGTAAGTATTATTTGGATTTACGTATTCTAATGGATTGTAGCATTCCATTCTATGTAAATTTATGCTAAAAATAACGTGAAAAAATATTTACAGAGCATATTGACGCGGTCTATATTCCACCCGACGTGGATACCTCGACTGACGAAGAAGATATGAACGATAACATAATTCTGCAAGAGTTTGGGGAACCAACTGATATAGTTACATACACCGAATGATACAGCTGTCCTTCAACAGTCCTGTAATTCATCAACTACTGAACCTGAATGGGAATCATCAGATAATGAAACTCTAGAATTCAAAATAAAACGTATGCTTTCTGCAAACGACAGGTTTGCTTCTACTGTTTAATGGCCAGATTGAGTACACTCACACACCTATATCCGATGAATTTAGATCATGGGAGGAACTAAAAAATTGGCTTTCTGGGAAAACTCCGCTTGTAATATTTTTTATGTTTTTTGATGACAAAGTGATTGATTTGATTTTCAAATTTTCGGTAAAATATGCTCAAGACAATAACCGCCATGAATTCTTGTTATCGAAAAATGAACTTTTAAATTTTGTAGGTATTTTATTGTTCTCGGGTTGTCATTCTTTGCCACATATTTAGCATTATTGGTCTACTGATGAAGACATGAAGGAATTGATCTTATAAAAAATGTATGAGCCGCAATAGATTCCAATTGATAAAGCAAAACTTGCACTTATCTGGCAATAATCTGTTGGATTAAAATGATAAATTTTCAAAAGTTAGACCCTTCTCTGATGTAATAAATTTAAAAAATCTTCAGTTTGCCATATTTTCGTTCAACTTATCCATAGATGAACAAATGGTACCTTACTTTGGCCGCCATTCCTGCAAAATGTTTATAAGGGGTAAGCCAGTTCGTTTTGGCTTCAAGCTTTGGTGCCTTTGTTCATCTGATGGGTACCTATTTCATCCACTTCCATATGGTGGTGCTCAAAATAAACCTGATTCCGACTTTGGTCTTGGCGGTGACGTTGTCATGAGTCTACTATTTGTACATTTCAAAACTAATGGTTATTTTGCCACCGGTACTATCCGGGAAAATAGAACAAATAAATGTCCAACGGAAAATTGTAAATCATTTGGAAAAAAGACTGCGGGTCCTATCTTTCAGCATATGAATCTGAATCAACAATTTCTATTGTCCGCTAGCACGACAATTCAGTTGTAACTGTGGCAAGTAATGTTTCTAGTGTAGATCCTGTCCAAAATGTAAAACGCTATAACAGAAAAGAACGGAAAGATGTAAATAAACCCCAACCTTATGTAATCGCCCAATACAATAGATATATGGATGGGGTAGATTTACATGACAACGGAATTGCTAACTACAGGTGCCAGGTATTTGGAAAACAATGGTGGTGTTCTTTATTTTGCGACTCACTGGATAGTTTAGTAGTGAATGCATGGAAATTGTATAATATTGTCAACGAACACAAGATTTCCCACGTAGATTTTAAATCTTACATTGCTTTGCGACTTTTAAAAACTGATAAAACAATTACTCAAAGAAATCTAGCACCTGCCATAGATGAAGTGCGTTATGATAATCAAGGCGCCTGATGATTGTTCAGGCTAATAAAGCCCGAAGGAGATGTAGAATCTGCCACAGCCACACAATTCACGTTAGTAATAAGGGTAATGTGCATTTACAAACTTCATGCTTTGTAAAATATCACCAAAAATGAAACCGGGTGTTACCATGAAATATTATGCGTTTTTTTGTATCAAATCAGGTTCTATTTGGAAAACAATCTACTTTTGGTTGTTTATTGTCGAATTTGAACTTTCTTTTGTATATTTATGTATAAATTATTTTATGTGCCCCAAAACATTATTTAATATTTTTCCCAGTGGTTCGTTTACGCACCAATATTTTTTTGTATATTTCGAGTTTTTTTTTGACACATGTAATGTATTCTTAAGTGCAACAAAATAAATAATGTCAGAGCAATAATGTTTTTTTTTTTAATTTATCTGAACCTGCTCGCGTAACATTTTATGTTCCGTTTGCATCCGAACTGCATCCTGTATCAAAATGCTGTGTCAAAATTTTACAGCGTCAGTTGTCGGTAAAGTGACGAACCATCAAAGGAACTTTCGAAGTAATGACACGCGTTGATGTTTCAGCGTCTGGACGAAAACTCGAGCAATTCTCTTGTAAAAACGGAGTGGTCGAAAGCAAAAACCTTCGAATTTATAGAAAAGTATCGGAAAAAAGAGATGTTGTGGAACTGAAAACAGCCACAATATTTCAATAAAATTAGAAATAAATAAAATTCGACATTTGTTAGAAACGGTAAAGATATTTCATATGGAATATATCTATAAAGTTCCAAGGAATTAAAAAATGCATTGATTTATAGGGTTTTATATTTACAATAACAAAGCAAGTTGTGCACGAAAGTACAAACATCATGTATATATAACAATACAATATTTTAAAAGCAGTCAGAAGTCAAGAAACTTGAATTCGAAATCAAAACTGTGTAATAAATCCAAAGATTATTGTGTATATAGTTATTTGTTTTTTCGTCTTTTGTTAATTTTTGATAATTTTTACTTTCTTTTTCATATTATTTTGACATTTATATTCATATAAGAAAAGCATTTTTTTCACCCACTATATTTTGACAAAATACTGGAGACTGTCGAATTTATAAACTGTCAAGCCGCCATATCGATTAAAGAAACTTCTTCGTTCAGCATAATCATTTGGTCTAGGCACCAACAGCTATACATTAAAGCTCCTTTACTATGATTTCTTTTACGTTTCTATTTTAGTTGTACTTATTTTTTTACCGTTAAAATAAACGTATGCAATCACAGTCAGATTTCCTCTGCGTTTTAATTAGGTTATGATGATTGCTCTTATCCCACGTTTATACTTTTTTAATCTTGTAATGTTGACAGTGAAAAAATTAAATTGATGCTTTTTAGCTGCTACTTCGGCTATTAATTCCCTCAAAGGCGGCAGTGCCGATCCGGTGAGGTGAGTGCCATATTTTGTTTAAATCATACAATGAAAAAATTAACACTTTGGCGTTTCAGTTTCGATGACATTACGACCTTTCTGCCCAATTCGATATCGAAACTCGGCGAAAAAGATTACCAACAGCCCGAGATGGCGGACAAATCTAAAACGTTTTCGGCACCGATCCAATTTGACCTGGACAGTACCGGCAAACTGACTGACGAAAACATCGAAAAGACGATCCCTTACAACGCCACCGAGCCCTTTTGTCAAGTCTACCAGGGCGGAGTCTGCAACGATTGGCTGGCCGGAAAATACGTTTTCGTACAGCCCCCGTATACTCAGGGCGAGATCGAGAACAAGCTGTTCAGCTCGCTTGCGGTGATATCCAGGTCCAAGTGAGTTGGTGATTTAGTGGTTCTCAACGTGATTTAGGTGTCATTTCGTTAAATCAAACGAACAGCAGGAAAAACTTCATTTGTTTATTTTTTATATTTTCTCGGAAACCCTACTTTATGTTGACTTTTATAATATCGAAAATCTGATATTTCTGAAAGCAATATTCGGTTTTAGTTCAACTTTTTTTATTTCTCTTATTTACTGGGAGGCTTTTAAATATCGTCAGTAATCTGATATTTCGGAAAACAGGAATCTCTTTTTGTTCAAGTTTTGATCGACACCTTAAAGTAGGAAACGAATTTTTAATTTACTAAGAAGCTAATAGTTTTTGAAATGTCTTCGGAAATCTGATATTTCAGAAAGCAGGAATCGCTGTTTGTTCAAATATTAAAACAGGAAACAAATTCTTAATTTACGTCAGTAATCTAAGCAGAAATTGCTTTTGATCCAAGTGTTGGAATTTACGTTAAACTTGTTAGTTTTTTCAATATTGTGCCTGTTAGCAGGAAAAAATATTTTAAATTTATTTGTTTATTAGCTTACATCTTGAGGACATTTTTTGTCATTTCTTCTTGGAAAACTAATTCCTACCAACTGTCTCATAAAATCGATATTTCAGGTAGCAGGAGTGATTTTTATTGAAGTTTTGAACGAAATTCCAACGCAGGAAAACAATTTTAATTTTACTCAGTAATCTGATATTTCGCCAAAGCAGGTATCGCTTTTCAAGTTTCGATCGAAATCTTAAAGCAGGAAACAACTTACAACTAGGTACCTGTCGGGTTTTTAAATGTCGTCAGTAATCTAAGCAGAAATTGCTTTTTGTCAAAGTGTTCAAATTAATTTTTTTTTAATATTGATAGAAATCTGAGATTTCAGAAAACAGGAATCGTTTTTCTTTAACTGTTGATAATAGTCCGACAGCAGGAAAAAACATTTTATTATATATATTTATTTGCTAAAATCTTGAGGGATTTTTTTTGTCATTACTTCTTGGAAAACAAATTCCTGATAACTGTTTTATAAAATCAGATATACGATATTTCGAATAGCGTAAAATTGCTAAGTGTTGAAATTTACAATAAACGTGTTTTGTTTAATATTGAGAGAACTCTGATATTTCAGAAAGCAGGAATCGTTTTTCTTTAACTGTTGACAATACCCCGACAGCAGGAAAAAACGTTTTTAATTTATATGTTCATTAGCTTAAATTTTGAGGTAATTTTTTCTCATTTCTTCTTGGAAAACTAATTCCTGCTAATTATTTTATAAAATCAGATATACGATATTTCAGGTAGCAGGAGTGATTTGTATTGAAGTTTTGAGCGAAATACCAAAGCTGGAAAACAATTTTTATTTTACTGGTGTTTTAAATATCGTCAGCAATGTGATATTCCGCCAAAGCGGGAATCGCTTTTGGTTCAAGCTTTGATCCAAATCTTAAAGCAGCAAACAAATTCTTAATTTACTGAGGGCCTGCCGGTTTTTTAAATGTTGTCCGTAATCTAAGCAGAAATTGCTTTTTGACCAAGTGTTGAAATTTACGTTAAAGCAGGAATCGATTTTTTGTTGACGATACCCCAACAGCAGGAAAAAACGTTTTTATTTTGTATGTTCATTAGCTTAAATCTTGAGGGAATTTTTTGTCATTTCTTCTTGGAAAACTAATTCCTACCAACTGTCTCATAAAATCAGATATACGATATTTCAGGTAGCAGGAGTGATTTTTATTGAAGTTTTGAGCGAAATTCCAACGCAGGAAAACAATTTTAATTTTACTCAGTAATCTGATATTTCGCCAAAGCAGGTTTCGCTTTTCAAGTTTCGATCGAAATCTTAAAGCAGGAAACAACTTACAACTAGGTATCTGTCGGGTTTTTAAATGTCGTCAGTAATCTAAGCAGAAATTGCTTTTTGTCAAAGTGTTCAAATTGATTTTTTTTTAAATATTGATAGAAATCTGAGATTTCAGAAAACAGGAATCGTTTTTCTTTAACTGTTGATAATAGTCCGATAGCAGGAAAAAACATTTTTTATATATATTTATTTGCTAAAATCTTGAGGGAATTTTTTTGTTATTACTTCTTGGAAAACAAATTCCTGATAACTGTTTTATAAAATCAGATATACGATATTTCAGGTAGCAGGAGTGATTTGTATTGAAGTTTTGAGCGAAATACCAAAGCTGGAAAACAATTTTTATTTTACTGGTGTTTTAATTATCGTCAGCAATGTGATATTCCGCTAAAGCGGGAATCGCTTTTGGTTCAAGCTTTGGTCCAAATCTTAAAGCAGCAAACAAATTCTTAATTTACTGAGGGCCTGCCGGTTTTTTAAATGTTGTCCGTAATCTAAGCAGAAATTGCTTTTTGACCAAGTGTTGAAATTTACGTTAAAGCAGGAATCGATTTTTTGTTGACGATACCCCAACAGCAGGAAAAAACGTTTTTATTTTGTATGTTCATTAGCTTAAATCTTGAATGAATTTTTTGTCATTTCTTCTTGGAAAACTAATTCCTTCCTAAAATCAGACATACGATATTTCAGGTAGCAGCAGTGGTTTTTATTCAAGTTTTGAGCCGAGTCCCAAAAGCAGGAAAACAATTTTAATTTTACTAGGGTTTTAAACATCGTCGGTAATTTGATATTTCGGAAATCAGAAATCGCTTTTGGTTCAAATTTTGATCAAAATCTTAAAGCAGGAAACAAATTCTTAATTTACTGCGGACCTGTCGGTGCAGTGTTAAACGCGTTTTTTTTTTTAATATTGTAAAAAATATTATATTTCAGAAGGCAGCAATCCATTTTCTTTAACTGTTGACTGTAGCCTGACATCCTGATAATTACAAATTCGAATTACCTTTAGGTAGCAGGATTTGTACTGACGACTTGAGAAACTTGATAATGTCTGAACTCTCATATTTCAGAAAACAGGGTTGCCTGATTCAAATGTTTATTAAACCTCACAGAAGGAAAACTGTGTAATTTTAGTCTATGAGAGATTAAAAAAAATCCAAATATGATTTTTTATAATTATTATTGTTCTATTCTTTCGCAGCGACATCTCCCAGAGCTGCAGCAAATTCGCACAGCCGAGCATTTGTTTTTCCGCCTTCCCGCTGTGCCTGGACTCGAAACAGATCAACGAATACCAGCGGTCTCACGCGAAAGATTTCAAACTGATCACCAACGCCGCCAAGAAGAAGTTCAAAGACATCCGGAAAAAGCTGACCAACTCGCTCGGCAGGATTTGCAGGGACGAGTGCATGCTGCTCGAGACGGAACTGTGCAGCAAAGAGTATTCGATAGCCAAACGGCACCCGGTAATCGGTGAGAATCCTTTAGTAATTAATGGTCTCGTTGTTTTTTTTCTCTTTGTTACAAACATGAATAAATATGAAAATTTGCAAGATCATCCACGAGAGGTTGTGTTGTATTTACTTATTTATTTATCGTTATTATTAGCACTATTTCTACAAGCATATGAGGCTTTTCTTATCAATACAGTGGAACTCGTTCTTTCCATGAACATATCATAAAATAGATGTCCACGATGACGTTTTAGGTCAAATAATGGAATTGGAGGTGTGTGAAAATCTTCCAGTCGAATTGGATCCGAGTTCTGCCCACTGCGTGTCGGTCGGAGTGGGGGACTTCAAGGGCAACAAGGGTAAATATCTGCGCGCGCATAGGCCTTTCTGTCAATCTGACGGATTGGACGGTCATTTCAGACGAACAGTGCTACTGGGATACCGGTAAATTATACAGGGGCGTTCAAAACACGACGATGTTCGGCGAGGACTGCTTGAAGTGGTCGCACCAGTTTCATTTGCCCATTTCCGACTATCCCGAATTGGCGGGACACAATTACTGCAGGTACTACGATATTAAAATGACACAAGGCGACAAAAATATTGTCATTTTCTTGTTCAAAATATGAACTGTTTTATTACTTCCAATAGATCATTTTCTTTCTTTTTCGATAAGTTCTCGCGTCACCACCCTTAAATATACCATTCACGGGATTGAGTAGTTCAAATGTACAATATCTTATGGTTGTTTAATTAAAACTCATTTGTGTAGTTTGAGAGTAACCGCATTAAATGATATTTATTTTACACCTTCGCAAAATTGATTTTTATTTAGTAGTCAGTATCGACATTTCATTTGACTGTTTCAAGCGCGTCTCAGTCGTAGAAGAATGCGATTCTGTGTCTAATCACCTTTCCAGCAAGTAGTTCAAATTTGCCGTAATTTATGCTTCAGTACCGTGATATAAAACTCAAATCTTCAGATTTTATATATGTCTAAATGTCTATTTATGGTCCCCGTTAGTATTGTTATGTAAATACCAAGGGTGGACCGCAAAAAAAAAGCTAACCTAAGAGTAATTCCTTTTATACTTATAATTCCTCGAAATTCCAGTGAAACTCTCCTTGGAATCCCTCTGAATTTCGCACAATAAAATATATCAATCTAGTCGTATTGATTAAGCATCCGCTGACGGTAAGCATTTTACGATTCTCTACCAAAACGCAACAAAAATCGCGACCACCTGTTGGACATAGATTTGTAAATGGTACATCGTTTGGAACCAAACCAAATTTACTGCAAATTTAATAAGCATTTCGAAAATATTTCTTGTTTTTAAAGAAAATCCGAGGTCCATTTTCTTACCCATCTGCTCTTTACTCCTCGCGTAAATGTTATCTTTAGTTCACCCAGTAGTTCAAATGTACCGCAAATTTATAAATGGTTGAGACCACAATCAATCGCAGACTGAGTAGTTCAAATGCGTCAATATTTCGATAAGTGTCGATATTTTTGCCCGCCAGGAATCCGGGAGACACGGAATCCGAGCCATTCTGCTATGTGAAACACAACAGGAAGGAGCTTTGCGGCATCCAAAAATGCGGTGAGATCCAAAAACGCGACAACGACCGCGTAAAACTGATGCCACATTGTTGTTTTGCAGTGTACGTATTCGGTACGTACGTGATAGCGATCCTGCTGGCGATATCTCTATTTGCCGGCCTCGTTTTCGTCTATTGTTACTGCAAAAGGAGGAACAAGGTGGCTAGAAATCTGCAAAACGTGAGTCGAATCAGGACGTTATTATTAATTTTCTAGGTTTTAATGGTTGCTGCTATTGGTTTTAACGAAAGAAGTTGCGAAAATACCATTAAAATCACATCTAAACGTACCCTAATATGAGTACCACTGATCGAACTGAGGTGGCTTTTACTTGATGAAAATCCATTTATCAAAAGAAAAAAAATTATAATTTCGTGAAAATCTGAACTTTTAGTTCTTATTTATTTTGATAAGTACCACTGCTAAAATTTAATGATATAACTCTTGTGAAAGAAATATCTTAATTTTTTTAATGGAAAAGCAAACAATTCTGTTTTCTACGTTTTAAGAGATATTAAAGAAATTATTTTTTATCCAATGTACAAATGTAAAAATATAAAAGGTCATTAAAAAATTGGTTCTGATAACTATAAAAGTCTCGGAGGTAAACTTGGTAAAATATATTATATTGGTATATTACAAATTCTTCTTTGGGCACTTACCAGGATAATAGAATTCGGAATTCAGTGTAGTACTTATATGTTTTTATAAGTTTAAGTTTCGAGATACAAATCAAAGGTTTATATTTGAATTGAAACACTGTGTATATTTTTTTATAATTTCCATTGAACTTTTAGAAACTTTCTAAATATAACAATTGGAACAAAATTTAAAAAAATAATTGTAAATATGTACATTTGTTGATTTGATTTCTTGCAATTGTACAACATATTTTAAAAAAGAATATTCCAGATAACATTATTGTTTTAATGAGAGATATACCCACCAATTTCATAGAATTCTTTAAATTGTTTAGTTTATATTTTTTCTAATAATAATAACAGTATAACAATAATATTTTTATAATTGTATTTTCTAAAATGTAAAAATATACGTTTATTTAAAATAGTAATTTTAGATAGTTATACATTTTCCATTAAGAAACATAACTAACTTTGGCTTGTATTTTAAAAATATCTTCTACAAAAATCGACCTACGCCACTGGATTCTCCATAAAAAGATCTATGAAATTCAGGTGTTGAAAATATAATGGGTAACTGAAACGACCAAATCTTTTCTATCTTAAAACAAAGCAAACCAAACCGCGTCGCAAAATGGACAAACTGAACATTAAATATGGAAAGAATTATTATTTTTAATATTTGCGAAAAATCTTTAACACAATATTTTTTAAACTTAAACATCAAGAGTCAAGTTATACAAAAATAAGTTTCTTGTTAATCTCTCTCCATTTGTGACGTAATACCCAAGTGAATTGTTCGATTTAGAAGGACCTGCCCCAAGTGAACAAAAACATCTACGGCAGTCCCGGTCCCTCCAGTCCGATCGAACTTAACAGCCTTCTGCCTCAGAACAATTTGCCTACCGGCCATAGGAACCACAACTCCAATAAGATAGACTACCAGAATTTACCCCAGTACACCTACAAGGAGGTTCGGTTCATTAAAGAATTGGGCGAAGGCGCTTTCGGTAGGTCCCCTGAACAACCGGAAAATGAGGTTATAAACCTCTGTCACCACGTGATCCCTTAACCAGTTGGCGCTTTTTCAATCGACACAAAGTGGTGTAAACAATCCTTGTTTTTCTTTAGTTAAGCGCTTTTCAATAAAGTATTTGCTAAATCTAGATCACATTTCTAGTTTCAAAAAACACCTCTTTTTTTCCTATTTTTATTAAAGCGCTCTGATTTTTAGGTAAAGTTTATCAGGGCGAATTAAAAACCAAAATGGGGAAGGTGTTCGTGGCAGTGAAGTCTCTGAAGGAGAACGCGTCTGAGAAGACCCAGGCGGATTTCCAGCGAGAAATCGAGCTGATTTCGTTGCTGAAACACCCGAACATCATTTGCCTTTTGGGCGTGGTGATGCGGTCCGAGCCCAAGATGGAGCCCAGCTGCATGTTATTCGAGTACATGTCGGAGGTATGTCGGTATCGACCGGTCATGATGCAGGCGATGACGTATCGAGACGTTTTCAGGGTGACCTTCACGAGTTTCTAATCGCGAACTCGCCGGAAAACGCCAAGTGTTTGAGCCACGATCAGTTCCTCGATATCGCCATTCAAATCGCTCAAGGTTAAAGTGTACTTGCGTTACCACGATTCCCGGTAAATTTTTTTCTTCCATTGCAGGAATGGAGTACCTCTCCGGTAACCATTACGTACACAGGGACTTGGCCGCGCGGAACTGCTTGGTCTCCAAAGACTTGGAGGTGAAAATCAGCGACTTCGGGTTGAGCAGGGATATGTACTCGTGCGACTACTATAGGTAAGTTAATAATGAAACCGGAGGTGATGTGAATGTTGCGTGTTTGCAGGGTTCAATCTAAGTCTCTCCTGCCGGTCCGTTGGATGCCCCCCGAATCGATCCTCTACGGGAAATTCACGACCGAGTCCGACGTGTGGAGTTATGGCGTTGTTCTATGGGAAATCTACAGCTATGGGTTGCAGGTACGCGTCTTATTTAAACAGCAGGTCAAATCAGTATGATTCATTGCCCTCTTCATTAAGTACCGGTTGATATTGTTCTGTTTTCCATGTCCACGTTAATTTCCTTAACGCCCTGTGAATTACACATCTACTTTGTGTTGTGTTGCGCCTGGGAAGTTGAGTAGTTCAAATGTACCATCATTGGTGAGACTTGTTAGAATCTTGTCTTGAAGTCGACCATTTTTCTTGTTTTGCTTTGTATTTAAGGCCCATAAAGACATTATTAAACAACGGGCGAGTATTTCGTCTCTACAAAGTTTTTAGCCAAGTGGTTCTAATGTACCACAATTTTCAGCACTTATAATGGCGCAGAAAGATGCGAAGTAATAAAACCTCATTATATATGCAAAATAACTACTTACTCGCATTAATGCAGGGCATTCATTTCAAATGCAAAATATTTCTTTTTATCGTAGTATTAGTATGTTGGCCCTAAATTTCGCCCATTCATTCTAAACAGTGATCTTCACACACTTGAATCGTTTTCGCAGAACATTTCGCGAGATCTGGGCACGTTTTGGGAAAATACTGTCATTAAAATACTACATCTAAACTGAAAATATGGAATTGACTAACTGTCTGCGGCCATGTTGGTTGTTGGTAACCGCTAATGTTTTTTTTTCATTGTCGCTTCAGAAATTCCTTTGTTATCAGCCTATGGAGTCTGTGGCTTTATATCTAAATTTTTACTTCATATCTTCAGTAAGGTGTTAGTTCCAAACACAAGAGGGCAGCACAACACTAAATAATTACGTCAATACGTCAATACTTTGTCAAAACTTCTGGATTTCTCCTGCCTCGGTTTTTGTTGAATCAAACTTGCTGACATTTTGCCAATCATCCTGTTGGTTGGTTTCTTTCGAGCTTGACTGAAGCTGGCCCGCATTTTACTCTGTATCTGCTTATATGAGGGGGTGGAGTTAAATGAGGGGCATAAACACCGTCTCGGATGATTGATTGATGATTGATTGATATTGGTGACAGGTAAAGACCTGACTCGTGATTAGGTTGCTTATAGATTTCTATAGACTCGGAGTTTTCGTTGTTAGAAGAATTGATTACATGCAAGAATTTTAGTTTATTTATCTTAGTCTTAAGGCTCTTTCATATTCTTTGAGCCTAGTTGATATTTTTCGCACGGTCTGTCTAATGTGTTCTTTGCTGTAAACTGGAATGAAAATGAAATGGAAAATGGAATTTTGTCTTTAACGGATCAAAGATGTTGAGAGATTTTTGGACAAATGGTAAATCTGGTTTTGACTTTATATTTCTTAATATCTTTAATGTGGAAATTATTAGAGAGAAGAGCAGAGGTAAGGTGTTTTAATTCTGGATCCAGTGACTCGGGCTGAGATAAATTGAAACTAATCAGAATATCTTGTGTATCTAATATAATGCTTTCTAAATATCCAATGAAGTGAAAGAAATTAAGTACGAAACTATCCGTTTTCCCTGTTTTAATAAAGAAGTTAGATATTTTGCTAGAGAATATGTTGGAGAACTAATAGTGCAGACAAGGGGTAATCCTGGTTGTGAATCTTTGGGAGTCCATGGAGACGAGAAACTTTAGATTCATGAGGGGTGACAGACTTTTTCACGGAGTCTGATAGCGAAGAAGCCTTAATAATAGATTTACGGCTGTAAAACTATCTTGAATCTTTTCCTGATATTCATTCGTGTTCGTGACCACCGTAGCAATACCTTTATCTCCTTTTAGGATTACGATGTCGGGATTACATTTTTGAGATTTTAGAACAATGGTTTCAGGCTTTGGAATATTAGATTTAGGCGAGTTTTTAAGGATTTTTGAGGTTTCAAATCGAATCTCATTAGCTGTTTCAGATGTCAGTTTGTTTAGGATAGACTCAACATTGGAAATGATTGCCTCCTTTAGGATAATACGTGGGGCAAGGACGAAGTATTACAGTAGCTTGTGGAAGTTTCTTTGAAAAATCTAATAGAAGTGTTAAATCAAAATGTTGTCAAATTGTAATGCGCGGCATAACCTCCAGAGACATCTAACGTTGAGGCGGAGCTGAGGACGGCCATTTATTTCTTGGCCTATTGGTTTTAAACATTCATTTTCAACCGCAGCCGTATTACGGATACAACAATCAGGAAGTTATCAGCATGATCAGGTCGAGGAAGTTGCTGCCGTGTCCCGATTCGGCGCCCAGCTATTGCTACGCCCTCATGGTCGAGTGCTGGGCGGAACAGGCCAATCGGCGTCCGAATTTTGCCGAAATCACCGAGCGGCTGAAAGTTTGGAAACAAAGCGGCTGCACCAATGGTAAATCTACTTTTGGGACTGATTAATTAATCACTTCTTAATTGACTAGTCAGTTTTTTTTTAATTATATCTTGCAATTTAATAATAGAATTCGGATTTTTATACACAGAAAATGCTTAAAATAGGCGCCTAAATATGTCTGCTTTTTCCAACAAATATGTCCAATATATACTTTTTTCTACTATCTATGTACTTTTATGCCCTTTAATCAAGAAAAGAATAGTCAAACACCGAAACAAATTACAACATTATATTTACAGTTTTTAGACATAAAAATATTAATATTTAATTAGGAGTATTTATCTTTTTATCTAATGATAAAATAGTGATTTATATTTATATGCTTATACCTAACCTATATTAAAGCATTATGGTAAAAACTATTTAGTTTTACAATTCGACCTATTATTATTATTATTGTAGCAATTGACAATTAAATGCTAAATTTTCCATGGTTAATTTTTGTCTTTTATCGCTTAATATGCTTTTGTATTTGGAGAACGTCCTTTCGATGTTTACAGAAGTAATTGGCGCGAATTTAAAGGATGCAAGGTGTTCTGGTTCCAAATAATGTAAATCATTATCAACCGTCGCATCTATTGATAATTTTAAGTAACTTTTTAGACCCTTCATTTTTTTGTTGTTACCCTATTAAATTTATCAAAAATAATTTTCCCTATTCTGCTAACACATGTTCGCATTCTTCTAATATTTAAATTGATTCTAACTCTAAACTAAAGTTAGCTTTGATATATGTCAACTAATCTATGAGTTCACATTTTTCATATAATTTTTTTTTTTTTATTGGATCAGCTGAATTTGAAAATACCATGTTTTTTATTTGATTAAAGTGATTCGCGTGAAATAAGGCTGCGTCTAACCACGTTCCTCATCGAGTAATTACGGGTTCAGGAGGTAAAGGAACATTAGACAATGTTTCTCTATATACTTGGACGCGAAGACGTGCTTTAACAAATATTTTTTTACTTTGGAAATTAAAGAATTATTTAATGAAAACTCATTCATTTCATGCGCTTAGCAAGTCATGTTGATTAAATTTTTATAATTTTTTCTTAAATTTAACCCTACTTTATTCTCTCGCATCCACTTTTATGTTTTCCAGTGGCGACGGGCTCGTCTATTTGTGATTTTTTCTCTCATGTAACCTTAAAGATAAAATATAATGTATACTATTAATTATCTAATAATAAATTAGATTGAAATAAAAATTCGAAAATTTATAATAATAAGTTTTTATCGCAATGTAAAATATATTCAATTACATATTTCAAATTAATTAAAGAGAAGTTACTACTTTTCCACAAGCCTTGCAGAATCTTTTCTTTTTTCAAAGATAGCTCTGGATGATTTTTAATCCATACAGACACCAAATGATAATTCACTTTCAGCATTTTGAATTCAATGATAGTTCACTTTCGGACGCTCGGACAGCAAATAAAATGTTTAAAATGCTTGGAAAAATTCAAAAGTACGTATGAACAGGGTAGGATGTGTTTCATTCAATCACAAGCACTACCAGTAATAATTTTCAGAAGAGGTTGTTAAAATCACATTAGATAAAAGTGTCAAACAAGAAAAGGGAGGAGGGCTTAATCCTTAAGTAACGGGATTTGAAGGCTATAAATAGAAAGTCTACAAATTGCAGATACATTTCATTTTTTATCTTATCCGATTGGAAAATTCCAGTAATAAACTAATGAATGGGTAAAAAATATGCGATTTTATGATCGAAAAATAAAAAATATCCACTTTATGTACAACAACAAAAAATATGTACTAAAGCTTCATTAATAAAAAAGATGTTTAATATGTATTTTATAATAAATTATTATGCGTTTGTGATGTCCAATTTAGCTCGAATATCGGAATAGGATACTTAGCGATTCGGAGAATCCCAATAAAAATATCTACTCCATCCATTCAATAAATAAAAATTTCATGGTATTTTTAAAATTAGCATTTGACTGGTCAAACTCACAACCCTAAGTGAATCTCTTCCTTTCTCTCTCTCTTTCTCATTGGTCACATCCATTGTTCTTTCAGGGGCGTATTTCAAATCGTTACCGCCCTCGTGTCAACCAACGCCGCACAGACGCTGCGCTAACGGTTCCAAATCTAGCCACACCTCCGATTCGCAGACCTTATGTGTGGCCAACGATAATCCGGTAGGCGGAGGCTCGCGTGATATAAATGCGGTACTGATCTCCGGTCATTTCAAGCTGTCGTCGTTGACGTGGGAACGCGAGCATCCCAGTAAGCCTTCATCGAGCCGTCACGACAGCCAGAGCAGTCTCACGTCGCGGTGCTCCAGCCTGGGCAACACCAACACCACCCAGAGTACCAACATCAGTTTGGAGGGGCGCAGGGACAAGCGGCCAAGCAGGCGCAACGTCGACTCGTTAGAGAGGCCCCTCCCCAAACACACCGTAGTCAATAGTAGCACGAGCGGGGACAATTTCGAGACCAAAATCAGAGATTGAGCGTCGGATTTTATTTTGAGTTTTTTTTATGTTTTATTTAACCTTGTTTTCCTTCCCCATTGGTTCCTATAGCCCCGTTATTCCATCAAATACTTAATTTTGTTCTTTTGCATACAGGTTGTTTCTTTTTTAAAGCGGAACTGAGTCGCTTATATGCAAGAGAGACCAGATAAGTTATTTAGAAAATGTGTATTATTCTGATTTTGGATATAATGGCTTGCTGTCTTCTGTTCCTATTTTGTTGTGCTGGCCTGGTACAGTTGGTTGTTATAATTTGTAGCCATTTATCTGTCCCTCACTCATTTTTTTTATGAACTCTTCCTGTGGCTTATTTTATTTTTCTCCCATTTGCCGTTTCGTCGGTCGGTTGTCATAATTATTTTTGTTTTCGTCCCTGTGCTTTTGAAAATTTTATTTTTTCTTTCCCGCGCCCCCATTTAAAAAGGTTTTTAAAACTTTCTGTAAATATTCATTGGTTGTTTGCTTAACATTTAAGGTAAATAAGTCACATCTATGCCAAATTATCAATGTTAATATCATTATTGTAGATTTAAGATTGCTATAGCGATAATAATATAGTTTTTTATCCGTGTAAAAGAACAAAACGAATTTTTTATGTAACATCACGTGTGAAAAGTTAAGTATCAGTGGCGGTGAAGTTAATTTTAATACAGAGCGATAAAAATTCTTAGATTAGTCGTCATTTGGCAGCTACAGTTTACCCTCCTAGTTATTTATTTTTTCGAAGCCGTTTAAAACTTTTTTTTATTTTCACAAAAGTATCTGTGCGAAACGTCACAATATGTCAGTCATGATGGTGCATCAAAATTGTAAAGAGAACGTTGTTAATAGTTTTTTAGATTATTTTTTTTATTTGATACGTTTTTTTATATGGGAGTGTCAGTGTGTTTATATATTACAATAAAAGTGTTTTATATTACTGGTTGCGAATTTATTTTCCGATAATTTTCCTTCCTCTGAATATCCAGAAATTTAACGACGACAAATACCTAAATAATGACATTATTAGGTAGAGAAAAATCTAATACAAAAAAAGCATGTTCTGACTAAACGAACAATAAAAAATCAGTACCGTTTTCGCTGTTCCGCAAAATCAAGCCAAGGGCTTGTATATCCTGGTCGAAGTGATGTCGTCGACTGACAAAACCTGCAAAAAAATCAGTAAAACCATATGTCAATAAATTACAGTGTGACAACGGGAGTTCTTTTATAAACAACCTTTAAAAATGGTGGTATTAAAAGTCAAACTCTAAAGACGTTTTTGAACCTGTAAATATGATACGATGAAAAGATGTATTTTTTATGCTCTAATAGAAAATCTAAGCATACATTTTCTATTTCATTAGCTGCAATCAACCAAATATCTTTGCTCATTAGCGATACAGCATATGCATTAAACAATATTTTCTTGCGCCAAATGGGTTAGAATTATTACCATTTTGATTTCGTCGTCGGTAAACGTGCGCTCGATGGTAGTTTCCTTGCCGTCAGCGCCTTTCTGCACCTCGACGAGCTTGTTACCGTCGACGGTGATGGTCGCTTTCACCTTGCGACCGTCTGGCGTCTCCTGGTCGAATTCTACACCCGGTTTGAATTTAGTCACCACGTTTTTGAACGTCGAATTGGAGGTTAGGACGTATTCATCACCCTGCTTATTCAGTTCCACCACCGGAGAAACGGCCCCGCCCACTTTCCTGGTAACTAGACCTACGCCTATGGTAAAACGGGACCACATTATTAGTAGTATGTACCAGAAAATACAGGACAGTCAAACAAATCACTCCAATTATTTCTAAATACCCCTCAAGAGTAATAATATGCAGAAATCAGAAATTTATTAAGAATAGTGAAATGACATTGCCAAAAAAACTAGTTAAGTTAAAAATGATATTTTTTAATTTAATTACTTTTCATTCTATTACATACCGAGTCCCAGTAGGGGCAACGAGGTATGAATTATTAGGTAAATTGGGCAAGAGAAAATACTGAAAATTATTTTCCAATTTTGAAATCGTCATTGGGGTACGTAATTGCAATCTTTAATTTTACAAAAATGTCTAATATTAACAGTTAAAGTGAGTACTATTTTCAAGTTAAAGTTGAGGCTTGTGTTCGCATTTTAATACACATGGAGTTAGGCGTTTGTGATTGCTTACCTTGCCGCCAGGTGGCTCTTTTTTTTATCATAATTGCGAAAAAAATCATTTTGTTTACGCCATTAGATGCTGAAATAGGGGTCCAACAATCCAGTAAAAGGCGCATCTCAATAGAAAAAAATGAAAAAAAAAATGAATGAGCGATGCGGCATGCGGTTAGACTTCTCGGACATATTAAAAAAATGCACGACAAGTTTAATAATTTAATCACTTAATTGATTATTTAAAGGAGCGAGCCGCTAGCTAGATGAATCACAAGACAACTAATCAATTTCTAATGCTGGATAAATTCGGACTCCCTTGCCGGCCGAATAACAGAATTATAACTGTTTTAGACGTATAATTAATACGAGTTAAAAATAAACTTTCCCATATCACCCAAACCGAAACATGGGAGAGTACCACTTAAAGGTAAGCGCGCCGACAAATATAATATTTTTCTACGGTGTATTTGATAAAAATAAAATAGCCCGCCCCGTTGGGAAATTTTTTCCCATGGAGGAAATTTTCCAAAAGTATTGAAAAAAATATCTGGATACCTGTAAGTGGCAACCAACCATTTTTATTTCATCTTTGCGTTTTCTAAATAGTCCATTATTCCTTATATGTGTGGAATAAGCTTGAATATGTAAGGTCAAGGTTTGCTTAAATTAGCCTTACTACACGACAGTAATTATTAGCGCATGTTTTGTACATAAAAGCAATTGCCCGTAATAAGATGACAAACATGGTTTGCCCAAACAATTTTCGACAGTCACACAACTGACGATGTAAACAGTGCTGTAAAACTTTCAGTTCAAGTACCTATATAGTTTACTTTAAAATTTTATCTGTATAAATATTTAGCTTCAATATATTTATGTTTTCGTTACAAAACTTTCCGTTCTAAACTAAAATTAATCACCCTTTTTACAGACTCACAAATTTACAGTAAAAATCAACTTAGGTACTAGAAGAAACTTAAGAAGTTACGTTATTTTAGACTTTGCAAACTATCCTCGTCGATTTCGATAACTATATTAGAATATTTTAACGAACAGTTTGACCAAACGAATCGTGATAAATAACGCACCTCAACAACTTGACCGTTTTAAGTAAATACTTCAATAATTTATTTGGCTTGACTGGATAAACATCATCTAAAAAAAGATGCACCTTGTACTTTGCCACAAAAAAGTACTTAAACGAGCATACTCAGTTTTTCGCAATATTTGCAAAACATATCACATATTATACGAATTTACCATCATTACAGAAGCAAAATAAATACTAATAAAAACTAAACAACTTGACAGAATTAATTAGTAATTTTTTTATATTTATATCTCTGAATTAACTCTGTGAGAAATATTGTTATGGTCCGTGAAGCAAATGGCTCATTAACCCTCGTTTCAATCGGATAGTCTGCGGAAACGTATTGATTTTAAAATTTTCCGCAACATATAAAGATTTTTCCGTGTGCTACCGAATTTCTAAGATATTTCGCGGAAAATTTATTGTTTAACCGAATTGGGCCGTTTACCTAAAGCCTTCATGTACTCGTCGAACTTCTCGCTGCTAGCGAGCTTGTATTTTTTTCCCAATAAGTCCTCCAAACCCATTTTGTTCACTACCGAGACGAATTTAATATGAAAAGCTTCGCACTCACTAATTTACTTCGACTACTCCCGACTGCAATATATAGCGAACAGACTGCCGGCAAAAGAAATAGATAACGTGGGTTCAAAGTCTGTCCGGTTCGGTTCGAAGACGGGTTGTTAAGATTTGCAACGTTGCCGGTTTGTGTTGAGAATTTTTAGCAATTATCTTTTTTAAAGTATCACTTGGTAAATGGCAAACAAGCATCGCGATAGACACGTTGCCCACGAGCGGCAACAACATTATGTCGCTTGGAGATAAACATTAAGTATGCATTTTTCCCGAAATTTAACGATGGTAGAACTTTTTTTAAATGTCTTATTAGTGATTCGGCAACAGCGACGAATATACGTCAAATTTGAAATACAGTGGCAATCAACGGCTCCTAGAAATGAATGCGAAAGAATTTATGAATATTAACCCAAGTGACATTTGTATTTGCGAAACTACACGGCAATGCTACGATATCATTTTTATTTAAAAGTTCCGCGAGGCGACACCTCGACGGGGAACTTGAAAACTGCGGCAGTGTCGTAGGTTCACGCACTGTCCCACCGATGGCGCCACGAGCCTCATCAACAACCGCGATTCTAATATATAATAATTGAAGGCTTAAGTTGCAACAATAATGCGGGTAATATGACGCCCATAAAATTTAATTCGATGGATTAACGGATATCGAATTAACGTCTTTCGTATTAATTTGGGGTCACCTAGCGACAGGATTAGATTTAAAACTCACCCAACGCTTTCATATATTCATCGAAATTGTCGCTAGACTCCAGTTTGAATTTTTTTCCGAGAACAGCGTCCACCATTTTGGAAAACTGCAAGTTAAGAAAACGTTAACTTAAAACTAATTACAATGGGTCTCCTGAATTTCGAGTCACAGCACACTGCATATTTTTAGCCCGTTAAACTTGAAACAGAAAGTAGTTCTGTGTCTGTAAATTAAAATGGGACAACGTTTTTTTTGTCGCGGCAGTTAATAGCGGCGTCTGCTTTTATAAAAATATTGTACATTAAGTTATAAGTTATATTTTTTTTTTGCCCCTTAAAAATGCACTTACCTTTTACTTCACTGATCACCACGAAAATCGCCCACTCGGATCTAAAGTGCTCTCGTCTACAAAGCCCGCTCGGAACTAAATGGGGGGGCGGAGAATTTTCAAAAGCAGCGCGGTTATTAAGAGGAGAGTATAGTTAAGTGCTCCCAATTTATTGGGAAGAATTGTCGGTTAATCGCCCATTGATCGTTTTATTAGGCTAGATTAGCTTTGGAAGCATCGCCGTTTCTACAGTCCGGTTTATTAATTCGATTTGATTATGGTACGTATGTAGTCAAATTCTTTTCAAAAACCACAAAAATACGTAATTGCTGTAGGCAATATTATTTTACCCAAAACAAGAAAAAGCGTTCAAAGACCATTTCAAGGAGACGAGAAATTATCGTTCAGGAACTAAATGTCCATCAAAATGTTATCCATAGATACGAAAATATTTTCTGACCGCTGTGCGCAAAACGGCAGGCGGGAGGCAACCAGTGGTACACGTGTCAGAAATAGGTAATGAACACATTGGTTTTCGTGGTTCAACGGTTACTTTATGATCAGAATTAGTTTCCGATTCCCGTACTATTAATTCCTTAAGTCATTTCTTGTGCTGTTAAGAGCGTTTTAAGTTTTGTGAACAAAAAAAAAATTGCTGATGTAACCACAATACAGTCAAGATACAGCCACACCATAAATGGGTTATATATCAGTTATATGTCTCTTATCAGTGCACCCTGTATGCTCTGTCATTAAAAATTCGATAGATAATAATATTTTGAAGAAATAAAGAGAAAACAGGATCCGTTAGGGGATTAAAGTATTAAGGGACTTTAAAATTAATACAGAAAACGTGATAAACTTGCATCAGTGCAGTATTAGCAGTAGTAAATACCTATAAGTAAACATTTTCAAGACCAATCAAAGCCTGCTACGGTAAAAAGACATTTTCTTCAACGTTTGGGGTTTGTGGCATTATATCACCACTTACCCATATTTGCAATATGATATGATGCAAAGATGAGAGAGATGAGAATTTGTTTCAAGAAATTTTAGTTTTTCCGCCATATTGTTACCTTTTATGAGCTCAATGACTGATATTTCTTCTTTAATTTTTTTATTTGAAGTTTACTATAGTATATCAAGCAATAATGAAAAAACAAATTCAGGTTAGATGCACACTTTTACATGTTTACTCCACACAGGTCCGTACTAGAAAAAGTGCGTGACGTCATTTAAAGACTCTCCGCGCTGTGACGTCACCCGTTCGTATCTCCTGCAATACCGAGCCGCTATGAATAAATCTACGCGACGTTTCGGCACGGAAATGTGCTTCGTACCATCCTCATTTCGTCCTCGGTGAAAATTCTTTCGATATCCACGACCCTGCCGTCGGTATCCGTTTGAACTTCCCTTAGAGTATTGGCCTCGACGTGAACCACGGCAGTGACGTTTCTGCCGTCCAGAGCTTCATGCTCGAACTCCACGCCCGGCTTAAATGCGAACGCCACAGTCTTCACGGGTGTGTGGGTGGATAGTATATACTCGTCGCCATTTTTGCAGAGCATGATCGAGGGTAGTATTGTGCTAGCCATTTTGCGCTGGACAAAATTCAATCCTGAAATAAGCACGGAGAAGAAATTTTGAAATTACATTTGCATAATTTTACAAATCCAGAGTATAAATAACAGCAACCACCACCATTCTAGTGGTAAATTTGCCATTGGTACGTTTTGTTGGCGCCCCGTATAAACAGATAATAACCGATCGCCTTTAAATACTCGTCGAAGTTATCACTCCCAACGCACTTGTACCGTTTTCCGAATATGCCGTCTAAAGACATTTTTGCACTTTACTTTCGAAATATTCCACCTGTCTCATCCATAGTCAAAAGTGAGTCTTATCTTACCATAGTTACTTCTACGTTGATAAGATTACGAGGCGTTTTAAACATTACAAAGAACATGTCTTATGTAATTATTTATCTTCCGACATTACGTGAAATGTTAAATGGATGGGTTTTTACCTTGAAGTTTACTCGGCTTTACTTTAAACACCCCATCTTAAGGGTAGCTTTACTTGACGATTAGGAGCTATCTCAAATTACATTCTAGTATTCCTATCGTCTATTCAAAATCACTGTCATTGATTTTGCGAAACATGAACTCGTGGAAATTTAAGACAAACCCAAGGACGCGAAGAAATACTACTAGAACTCTGTTGGAATACCTACGTTTGTTTAACGGTTAAAAAATAGTACATCTCCACTGTTTTCTTGTTTTTCGAAGACTACATACTGGCGAAGTTAAAAAAACCAACAACCACTAAACGAAATCTAAAAACTACGAACAAGCTTTACAGACGATTTTTTCCCGTTGCCATCGACGTCACGAGATCGGGACAACCAATGAGATTCCGTGCTCGTCAATGCAAATGACTTCTTCCTTTGTTAAGCTTATTTCTAGGATTATTATCACGAAATAATATCCAAAAATTGGCGAAAGCGTCTTTATTAATTTTTACAGTTATGTTTTTTGTGAGGCAAAAATCATAAAACTTAAATCGGATTAAAACGAATCGGATTATCTGTGTTTCATTTGTTGATTAGAAACGAGATTCAACGACTTATGAGACACCCCGTGTAGGCTAATCGTGATTTGTTGCGCCAACAAATGTTTTAATTTTATCTGCGAAAAGTAAATTTGCTTTGACGAATATAATCGTGAAATTTACGTTATTTTGGTTTGGGTTGAAGAATTAGGATGCATTGAGAGGAAATGAATGAATAAGTTACGATCCGACGACGTTAATAAGGCGTCTCCATTCAGGACGACAATTCCAGCTTAATTGAACTTAATTCGTCGAGATCATTATTCAATTATCTTTCGTCTGCGACGATATCGCCTGAGAAAATCAACGCCATACTACGTGTATGCCCGACTAAGGGCTGGAAAGTAGGAATTCGGACTTTGAATGTAAAATATAAGAAAATTACCTTGCATAGTTAAAATGCAGCTCTAATCTATCTGGAATTCATTACATCAGATCAATTTTCACAAATAAATAAAGAAAATAAATCACATATTACCACCAGAGAAAAATGTGTTCGCTTTTCTCTGTCACCACTCTTCATTCATAGGTGGCAGCACCAATCACAAAAATTATCCACACGACAATGGCAGACTGTAAATGTTATCAGCAACGTGTTTTATGAAGAACGATTAGAAAAGCCACTATATTTTTTTTTTTTAAATTAAATTATCTAGTTATTCTTTTGAATTATAGACATCTGCAATATTCCGATTGGAAAGAAAAGCACAGGTACAGTAAAAAATTAGAAAAAAAATTGATTAAAATGAAAAACTGATTGTATATTATTGATATTTTAATTAGTTTTTTGTTGTGATGCGAGCTGAAAATGTTTTTGGAAGATGAATCGACTTTTTTATTTGTTTTAACAACAGTAAAGTTTAAATCAAGTAATAATGGAAAGCGCTGAAACAATCACCAAGAAGCAATTTTGTTGTAATTTATTTTTAACAGTTGTTAAATTAGTTTTATTACTTTGGTCTTGTCCAATATATTGGTAATCATTTAACCATTTTTTTTATATTGTCAATATTGCTTTTTAATTATTGGAAACTGGAGATGCCTAGTAGGAACTTTGGTTTTTTGGGCAAACACGATATCTACGCATTAAAATTCAACGTTTGACAGCGCAAACGCGGCACTTTCCACAAACCATTCCTTGCAGCATCCCTCGAGTCAATATTTCCTGTTAGTGGAAAGTGTCTGAAAACAAAATATACGTCCACAACATTGACGGAGGGTCGAGTCAGGTTAGCATTCACCTTTTTTCCTTCTCTAAGATATATTTCTGTTTGTTGTTATTCGTTTTGGCTAAAATTAATAGTGTAGGAAAAAAATACTTATTTACTATTTGGATGCCTTTTAAGACGGAACGCCACAAAAGTTTTACGGTGGACATCATTTTCACTTTCATGAATGAAATTGGTTACCGCCACAACTTGTCAAACAAAAAAAACTACATTGAAAATATTTGAATTTTTGTGAATGTTTAAAACGATATAAAGCAGAAATTATCTCCTTGTAACTGGTTTCATTTATTGTAAAGTATGAAAAATTAAAATAATTCATTTCTGTAGACATTTTTTGGCGATTTTTGCGGAGATATTTTTTAATAAAAAAAAAATGTCACCTAAATGGTGAAATTTACTGGTCAGTTATTGAAAATGCCACAGGGAGAAGATCACGTCCAAAAACAACCGGAGATTAAATTTAAAAAAATAACTAAAATTGCTTATTCGTCGACTGTATATACTATCAAACTAGAAACCCAATTAAACTTTTCAACGGAGTTTTCGACGCCATGATATCGCTACCAATATTGTCGAAAAAGTTTTGGTTAGAACAGAAATTCAGTTTTTTCATCGATTTCGTATCAAACCCTATTTTTGTTTAATCCTGCTGGTTTCAGTATCGAATAAGATATTGGTGGTGTATCTACATGCCCTCCAATTAGCGCGTCTAAGAATGAAAGAAAAATCAGAGAGAAACATAACCTTACTTTCTTATGAATTTATAAGACATCCAATATACAGGAAAATAATTTTGGGTTATTCAGCCGTTTCCTATAAATATGCTAAATGCTCCGCAAATATTTAGATATCATGAACCAAATTTCGGATTTGACCGAATGACCCACGCTGTTGGTTGTATATCAACAATGGCCGGTGTGAGCGCACTAGAATTTGAGCTGCTAAAAAGATGTTGCTGGAAGTGATAACGAAATTTGATTGGTCCCATTTCCGTGAGGTCTATTTTGGTGACGCATTTGCTTCGATTCGTAGATAAATTACTTATATTTAGTTGTTTGAATAACGTATTGTATAAACATGCACGACATCTGTCGCGACTTTTGCAAAATTAACTGCTGAAAAAAGGCGGGGGAGAGGGTCAGTTCCGCTCGTTTTTTTTTCACTTGCTTCAACCAAATTTTTCCTCTTGACGAGGTTTAAATAAGAGTTCAATCATAAATCGTCAACCATCATAAATGACCAACTTCCTACTTCCTACTGTAATTCTTCCTGCGTCGGTTGCTATTTTGTCGAACTTGCCAAGAATTACATTTTAGAGGATTGCAAAAATCACGAGACAAATACATAATAATTGTACATTATCTTGGTCACGTTCTTCGGTGGTCGCATTAGCCAGTCATATGATTTCCGACACTATCAATATTGTCGATTAATTAAAAATAAAGGCGACTCAATACGGCACCAATGGCGTGTCGCAAAACCACAGTAGGAAGTTTATTTGTTCAAATCACAACTGACAATTTTATGAGTTATGAGTTTATTTGGCTCCTGCAAAACGTGAATATAATATTTTTTAATTATTCAAAAGGTAAAAAAGAAATTATCTACCATCTAACACGCAGCCGATAATACTATCTAGGGAAAATTAACAAAAATATTGTAATAAACGCCCAAATCGCATATGTACGGCGACATTTGGGCCAGATAGGTTTTCCCCCTCCTCTTCCACATACCTTCAAGTTTATTGGCGCGTTTACTATGTAAACATGCATGGAAATAATCTGAAACTGTCCCGAGTTTTGATGGACTTTGAGTATTTTGAATAGCTAATATTGCATTTTTTTTGGATAATCACTCGTTATTTTCATTTAATGTCAACACTAAATCGTTTTAGTACTTATTTAATAATTATTGGGAAGTAGCGTAGGTTAGGGTCACAGGTAGGGTAAAAATAATACTATTGCATTCAAGTTTGGCATATAAGTATTATCTTGAAATATATATAATTAAATATTGTTACACATAAATACATAAAACTAGCGAACAAAACGATTTACTTTTTAAACTTTGTGTTTTACGGCATTCGGAGATGGATTTTTCTTTAGAATTTCACTTGTGGCATTCGATGTTGTTGCTAAAAGCTCAGAAAATACCTGCTGAGCTTCTTTTTTGGCATTTTTGAAATGAAGTCTCTAGATAATCCTGCTTCTGTTGGTGGCTTCTGGTAATAGGGTGGGAACAGCAGTTTTTTTTTTTTATAGAAACTTTTTTAAAGGTAAACCTAAAATTTAATTTTGTGGTGAATTCAATGTGTTACTCAAGACAAAAAAAACCTAATAACTCATTTTGTAAGTCTGTTTCGTAATCATTTTCAGTAGAATGAACTGAGCAGACATAGCTTTTATCTGGATTAAGTTTGTCCTCTCTTCTACATCGAACTATCCACTCGTTCCGTATAGTTCGAGATGCTAGATCTTTCCTCTTGGGAAAGGGATGAGAACTACATTTTCGAGATACATGAGACATTTCGTTCCAGCCATACCTAACTATTTTTTGATGTAACTTATCCCACTGAAAAAGGTAAAAGAAATGTATTTCTTACTATTACCTATATTATTATGTGTAATATTTTGAGCTTACCTCCTAACTAATAACACCGCTAATAAGCAGCCGGAAAACAAAACTTTTAAGTCTTTGTTTAAGGTTAAAAATACTGTTTTTCTCAGTTCTCGCCACTCAAGCACATACAATTTTTAAGTATTTGTTAAAGCTTAAAAACACTGTTTTGTCCAAGTTTTTTTACAGAAATACAATTAACACAAACATAAGCGCACCACTTACTAGTTTAAATTATTTTGATTGTTCAAAGAACATAAAACACAACGGTTTAATACGCCTTCAAATGCATTGACAGAATACACAAAAACCGTTAGAGGACTTCGCTTATGTCACGAGCGTGTGTCTTATGGGATTGGGCAATCCTATTAGGTTTACGATTTTCAAAATTTCAGGAAACTATTGATGGGTTTAAATAGTTTTTATATTATTTGAAAGACTGTTAAAAGATTTCGCTGCAAATTGCATAGGAGTGTATAACATTTTTTCTGTACAGTAATTACGAATTTTGTTTGTGTACATAATTATTGTATTTATTTTCCGACTACCCCTCATTAACGCATATCGTTCTAATAGCAGTATTACATTCAACTGATAAATTTTTATATTACTGGAACTTTATTTTGTAATATATATGCATTTTTTTAAAGTCTGTTTTATTACATGTACTTTGTTTAGTCGATAACCTATGTTTTAAATTAATTAATAATTGAAATGATGATATATATTGTTTTTGGTACTTTATCTAGATGATCTCCAAGTTTAGTGATTCGTCCATAACAAAACCCAAATATTTTATTTATATTTTATCTAATTCTCTATCATCAACATTACCTATTTGTTTATTTTTGGATATTTCCATGTTCCATCAATTTATACTTATTCCCGTTCTTGTAAACGAGAGTTGTATCCTTAGCAAACAAAGAAAAAAAGGCACTTCTTACACTGATAATATATAATGAGTAACGTCCCAAGCACTGAACCTTGTGGCGCCCCATGACGATTGGATTGCTTATTACTAATTTTATCACCTAGCTTAACATATTGACATTTATTTTTTAAATAACATTCAATTAATTTTAGGAAGTTACCGTAGTGTTCCACTTTATTAACGTTTTTTTACCGGTAAAGTACGTTATGCATTCACATCTAGGCTTGCCTAGTTAAAATTGTTCCATATTCTTTACTTTGTCCGTCCGAAATAACCTGCCGTAGTTATCAAATATTACTATCATACTTTCACTATTCTATGTACAATTATGAAGCACAGTGGTCATAGAAGAGAAACAAATAAATTTATATTAATAACACAGCATATTTGTATATTTTTGGGGGTCCTTTTTCTAAAAAATGCGCCATGTTTTTGCTGAGTCACGCAGTTCGTTTCAGCGATAGCGAAAAAGGTTTTTTTGTTGAGCCGCAAAGAAGAACATTATGCAAAGACAAGAATTTTCCAAACACAATGACCAATGTCGAAGAAAACGCCCGTGTTTCATTTAAAAAAGTAATTGATAAGTTTGTTGGGTACTCTAAGGACGAAATCTACGAAAGTATTATTCAAAATATATTACAACACTTTTAGGTTGTAATATGAGTTTGAAAGTGCATTTCCTGTTTTCACACTTGAACTATTTTCCTGAAAATCTTGGAACAATCAGCAATATCAAGGCACATGAGCAGAACGATGGTGGCGGACCACTGCTGGATGTTAAAACGGGATATGCCCGTGAAAACACACAGCCTATGTCCGCACAACGCAAAAAGACATTGAAAAAAGTCTGACTAAAGTTTTTTTTTTATTTTTTTTGAATAGGATTCCATTTTTATACCGAATAAAGAAATTAATTATTTTGGAAATATCTTTTTTTCCCTTTGATATTTGCAAAAAACCTCACGCATTTGAATTTTGTAGACATGCGTAATTCAAAGAACTAAACTTTTTAACAACATTCACAAATAAAATGAACTTTCATATTAAAAATACAGGAAACAAATTCGGGTAGAATCAGAGAGATCCCTTTGAAGTTTCCTTAGAGCAAATAGAACATAAGTCTTGCGTATTTGTTAATTGTGGTTTTGAACTGCCCTTTTCAGAATCGGATTCGTTTTTGGGAACTTCGCACTTCCCAAAATATTGATATAAAAATTCATTAATTAGAGGATTTTGCGTGATGCACATTTGGCAACCAGGTAAAACATGAAATGTTAAATCATTACGAACTAAACTCGGGTGACAATGCGGACTTTGCCTAGGAAAATCTATATGATTAACTTAATTGTTATTAAATTAAATTAATTTAATTTGATTTTTGGTCAAAAAATTTAAAACAACACACCACTGCTCCGCTAAACCTTTTTTTACCATAGCCGAGGAGGCCCACACTTGTTTTCGGCCCTATCTGATTGATTGCGTCATTATACATTGTTATGTTCCGAAAGACATTTAGAAAATAACATTCCTAATCGGCTTAGCTTGGAGGCCTCCCCTCCAGTAACCCGAAGACTTATAAATTGCTCCGCAGTCTAAAGTAAGCCGTTCAGTCCCGTTTTTTTTTTAAATAAAAATGCTGCATTGATTTCGTGAGGGCTAACGCTACCTTTGCAGGTTTCAGCCGAGTCAGTTCGCATACCGGTGAAAAGGTGGCGAAGTTTGAGGGAAAAATTTTTTCAGCCGTCAATAATTTCTTTTCCACGTCGCCTCTCGTCAACCAGATCAAAGACCTGATGGTAAGTACAAGCTTGGGTGTAATTTTGGTTAGTCACGGATATCAAACGAAAAAAAAAATACGGAGGCTAATTATAAACGTTTATTATCTCTTAAAATAGAAAAAGGCTTGTTAATTTTGTGGATTTGCGGTTGGTTCGTAGTCGCCGACGGTTGAGGATGGTCAAGGTGAAGTGTGTTTATTTCGCTCAAGTAATTCTGGTGCATTAGTATCGGTAATAATAAACGTCACACTTTAGTTCCGGTAGATCACGACTTCTAAAATTAACTCAAAAAGTTCACCATACTTTTTTTCTTTTATGCCACCTTGTGAGATAGAAAGAAAGGTAAAAATTGCTATAGACAGATATTTTTACTTAGAATCTTTATTTTTTTTATTCTTTTCTGCTTTCTTAAAAATGCAATATTTTAACATATACGTAAGTTTGCCATATAATCATAGATATTAAATTAAAATTAATTGGACATGTGAGTTAGCTCTATGCGTAGAAGATTTTTGCTGTGGGAACAGAAAGCAAAATGTATATCACATTAATAGATATTAAGAAAAAATGTTGTCTGTTGTGGTCTTATTTATATTTTAACCGGCAGCTACCGAGTTATTAATTAAATTATGATGATATACTTTATGATTACATTTTAAGTTGCTATTTCCAAAAGGCCGCAGCCGAATTTAATTCAATAAAATTAATGGTGGACCAACCAATCGGGCGTTTAGATCTTTGAACAGCGAGACCTCTCATTAATATATTTTTTTCGTTTGGTTTTACTTAAAACACAAAATTTTCATGAGTCTACAAAATGCAACCAATCGGGCATCTAGATCTTTGGAAAGTAGACCTATTATAATGATGAACGCTCTAAGATTTTGACCAGCTGGTGGCCTGCTTGGTCGCCAGACGTCTCATTAATAGATTCCTTCCTTTGGTCTTACATAAAACACAAAATTTACCTGAGTCTACAAAATGCAACCAATCGGTCATTTAGATCTTTAGAAAGTAAACCTATCGTAAGGATGAATGCTTTAAGATTTTGAACAGCTGGACAAGTAAGGGCGCCAGATCTCTCATTAATAGATTTTTTCATTTGGTTTTACTTAAATAACAAAATTTACATGAGTCTACAAAATGCTACCAATCGGGCATCTAGATCTTTGGAAAGTAGACCTATCGTAATGATGAATGCTCTAAGATTTTGACCAGCTGGACAAGTAAGGTGGCCTGCTCGGTCGCCAGATCTCTCATTAATAGATTTCTTCGTTTGGTCGTACATAAAACACAAAATTTACCTGAGTCTACAAAATGCAACCAATCGGGCATTTAGACCCTTGGAAAGTAGTTCTATCGCAATGTTGAATGCTCTAAGATTTTGAACAGCTAGACAAGTAATGGCGCCAGACCTCTCATTAATGGATTGTTTCGTTTGGTTTTACTTATAACACAAAATTTACGTGAGTCTACAAAATGCAACCAATCGGGCATTTAGATCTTTGGAAAGTAGACCTATCATAATGATGAATGCTCTAAGATTTTGACCAGCTGGACAAGTAAGGCAGCCTGCTTGGTCGCTAGACATCTCTTTAATAGATTTCTTCCTTTGGTTTTACTTAAAAACAAAATTTATCTGAGTCTTAAAAATGCAACCAATAGGGCATTGAGATCTTTGGAAAGTAGACCTGTCATAATTGGACGAGAAAGAGCAATGGTCTGTAAATTTTTATAAAATTAAAGCTAGAAATAACACGGCGATTGAAATAATAATATATTTATTTGAGGAGACGAAAAATGACAATCATTTTTCTTTTTGACTTACCTTGATGCAAATATGACTGGCACAATTTCGGAATACTTGACGGCACTCGAACTTCTAATTCCTGCACGCGGAAAATGCTCTCACGTTGGTTAGTTTTGGTTAGTTTCCTTAGTACCTGAGTCCTACTAGTACCGATCATAGCGGAGCATGACACCGGAGCCACATAGGAGTTTTTTCTGGCCATATACCCAGTGAGATTGTCCAAAAATACGCGGAAAATAATATCAATTTGGTCGATATAAAAATTCCCGAATTATAAAAATTAAAGAGTAAAAATAACACAAAACAATTCCGATTGGACGGAACAGTGATGAATGCTCGAATATTTTGAACAGCTGGACAAGTAAGGTGACTTCTTTCATTAATAGATTTTTTTCGTTTGGTTTTAATTAAAAAACAAAATTTACCGGAGTCTACAAAATGCAGCCAATGGGACATTTAGATCTTTGAAAAGTAGACCTATCATAATGATGAATGATGTATAATTTTCAACCTTTTTTTTGACGCGTAGTTTACTATGTTTACTATTTACAAATCTTTTGGATTCCTCTTTTCGCCAATCATCCTATTGGCTACTTCAAAGCTTAACTGAAACCACTTCTGGCATTTAGATCTTTGGAAAAGAGACCTATCATAATGATGAATGCTCTATAATTTTGAATATCTTTTTAGAAGCATAGTTTACTATGTTTACTAATTACAAATCTTCTCGATTCCTTCTTTCGCCTATCATATAGAATGTTTATTACCTACTATTACTATACTATTACTAAGTGCAATCAAAATTTGTGTTCCTTTAAAGAAATACTATCAATAGCAGTTTTTACCTTTTTTGGATCTTACAGGGCGTCCCAAGGATGATACCGTCTCATGAAACCTATTAATTTTATTTCTCACAACTGTATATCCCCGTGATTACAATTAATTTGGGACACAGTCTACAGTTTCGGTTGATGCTAAGCTAAATCATTACGTAAAACTCGCAACACCTAGTATATTTTATTAGCGTTTCCTTTGGAGTAGCTACAACCTACTAAATCATGCTTAATGAGCCTTCGAAGCAAGAACAAAACTCCAACACGACGGGCATAAAATGAATCTTAATGATGCTCAATTGAAATTTGTAACTACAGCAAAAAATCTGGGAGTAATATTGAATACCCAGTTTCCATTTAAGGACCATTTAAAATCAATTAACCACAAAATATACTACTTAGTAAAAAAACTCCACAATAACAAATATATATTAGGCAAGAGTTTGAGAAAGAATTTAACTGAGTACTCGAATCTTTTATTTGGCATTTATAAAATTTGAAAAGTTCTTAAAATATTCTCGCTGTGATAGTTTTCGTTCATGTCAAACAATGAAGGAAAACGCCTCTCGACACGAAACGTCGCGTCATAGGTCTATCTTTACCGTTGAACTAGTCTTGAAATGCACTCTCCGAATGTTCTATTTAAAATAAGCCAGTTTGTACCTAGCCTATCGTCTACATGGAGGCAAAAAAAAACTTTAGAAATTTTATTCAATCTTTATATTATTTTTTTTAATTCACCATTTCGCATTTCGATTTCTCGAAAGAAAAAGTCTTCTTACAGTAGCCAGTAAAGCTGACAGTCCTAAGCAAATTCTTTGAAAATGTAAAACCTGTTGTTTATTTTTTCTCTGAAAGCTAGACATATATTCAGCGTTGCTATTTCTATAGCACAGTGTACATGTTAAGCAACATTGGACCTAAAATCTCGACGAGGAACGCCACAGTGACGACTACCATCCCGCCTACCCAAAACCAAAACACGAGACTCAACTGCTCCAAGCCTATAACCTTCGACTGCATCAGGTTCATCCTGCTCTCCATGAACAGCACCTTCCTGATAAGGCCTCGTCTCTCGTAATCGACCAACCCGGACGCGACCGCGTGATAAATCACCATGTTGAGCCGCCCGAACGCGGGATACCCCTTGGTGAACATGAACTGGTTGTAGCTCTCAAGCATCGGAAAACCGATATGTAAAATGAAATTGCTAGTGACTGGATCCAAAAAGTGCTCCAGCCTGGTGCAAATGAGCACAAAGCTGTTCTTCAGTATGGTGGACAGCAAAATGCATACCAGCAGGTAGGAAACCATGATTATACGGAACGTGCACTTGTCCAACATACCCACCGCGCCGACTTCTATCAAGCACTGATAAAACCAAGTGATCAGAGTGATCCACGAGGTGCGGTAGAAGATTTTGACCACGATCATCACCGCTAAGATTGACGTTGTCAGTACGGCGACGGTTTTCGGCCGAAATATGTTGCAGATGCGCTTCCAAGTGGTCTGATAGGTAGGGCTTGGCGACACCACATGGTAAGCGTCGTAGTACCATATGTACGAACCTTGGAAGTCGTTTGCCGTTTCGTAGGTGGCGTAATACCACCCAGACAGCACATCGTAGGTTCGGTTTAGTAGCGAATTCATGCTGTCGTCTTCGTACAGGCCGGTACGGTCATTTTTTGGTCCTTGATGTTCGAATTCCCTCAACACCGATTCTAGCCGCATACCCGTATGGTGGGAGATCATTTTCAGCACGTGCTGTTCTATGCCCTCGCCATCTGTTGTAACGTACGGTCTCATATGTTTGAAGTATGTCTTTAGCGTGGTGTTCCTCCATAGTTGCGGCAACGTAGCTGCAATAAAGCATTTGGACGTCGACAAAGATAATTCTATATTTATATCGCATATTTTTCATAATATGTTCCCATATTCTGTTTAAAGTAACAACTTTGTGTTCTGAGGCGTTTATTTTGTAAAAAATTTTGATTAAAATAAGAGTTGATATTTTTAACAAATAAAAAAATATATTTAGGAATTTAGGAATACATGCGTTGTGTAAGTTAAATTTTTATCTCTTGCAGAAATGATTCGAAATACAAAAGACAAAAAAGTTTCAAGCTATCATTTAATTATAGGCCAAAAATCAAGTATAAAAACAAGGAGTTTCAAAAAACAATACAATACAATACAAATACAATATTAAAAAATACGACTCTTTCAAAACACGACTCTGTAAAAGATGCCTCAAAAATTCGTGATTTTTTATTAGCATCACTTGCTAAAACCTCAAAAAACTCTAAAATCATCTTTTAGCGACGCTTCCGTGCAAAATATCTAAATTTTATCGAGCAGTACTTTTTCTAACCGAATAATAGTTATATTGTGGGCTAAGTTTCCTAAAGCCCTTTTGCGGGATGCACTTTTTTTATTACTTATTAACCAAACTAAATTTATTTTTTAATGCATTCATCGGTTTTGGGCTGGGTTAACAAAAAATCAATTTCTTATATCGTCTTGGCAATTTTAATGGCCTCCTTCAGGAGAGAGTTCCTATATACTTAAGATCGTGTTCATAATAGAAGCAAAATTGTCGAACCTCCCGATCCTCGTTTTAATGTTTCAAGGGACTACTTCTAATAATATAGGAAATTTATATTAAAAAATAATACATTTATAGTGAAATAACATTCTTGACAACAAAACTTTTATTTAAAAAACAACTAAATTCCTAACGCAGTTCGATATGTAAGTAATCGAAAAGTATGTTCCCTTGTAAATTAGAAAATATCGTGTTATATTTAATTTGATTACGTTATTTAAATTTATAAAAAATGTATAAAGTTTTTTATCATTGGGATATAAAACATGGTCTCTTGTTGCACTCTACTGTAAATTTATATGATAATTTAAATATTTCTTATTACACTTTGAGAAAGTTCAAATTATTGAAACATTTTGAAGCATTTTGGCAGTTGAACCCAAAAATGCAATAATATAAATGGATTCCATTAAAAAAAATACATATTGGGATAACCTGTATGGTATGAAAGTGATTTTTAAAAATATTCGCACTTCGTAGATCACAGAATTAAAACTTTTTGAAAACCTATTGGTCATATTCAGTGCAGTACAGCGTGAATTACCCTCTATATCAAAAGCCCTAAGGCTTCGCAGTTTAGCGACAATTTTTTGCGCTGAAGGTTTTATTATAAGGTAACGAATATTTGAGCATTATAAGCTTAGCTTTTATAACAAATTTTATAGTTTTATAAGAAACATCTAAAAATTTGAAACGTTTCCGTTGGTTACTTCCGTTTTTTTAAAAAGGTTAAAAACCTTATTATAATACTTTGACTTTTTGGGTTTTAAAGCTTAATTATAAATCTTAAAACATCTAATAAACATTGAACCACGTTTAGTTTAATTATAAATTTTATCTGAATATTTATAAAAATCAAAACCTGCTTCTCTCAAGAACAAATAAACAACTGAAAAGTGGGGTTGTGATTTCATAATTGACATTTGACATGTGCTCGCTAACAGTTTTCAATTGGATTTCTAACAACTTTTAATTTTATAGCGGTTTTTATAAACAACCTTTTGGTAAATTATCCAACGATAAAATCAGATAAAAAAAGAAAAAAATTCCAGGATTTTTAATATTACTTAAAAATCAACTTTTCAAAAAGCCAACCTGGTGAACATGGCGTATTTTTATGCGACAGGCATTGTTATGTTTTTTGAATTGGCGTGAATACCTGCATTTGAAGCATCTGAAACTAGAAGTCGTATTACTTCAAAATTTATAATTAAAATATGATCTTGGTGCCAAAATAAAAGGTAACGACAATGGGAGGTAAAAGTCTTATATGAGACTCGAATTTAATTTAGAGCAACTCAATCGTTTCTCAAGCAATTGAAAGGTGTTATCATTTTTTTAAATAGGTAAGATAAGGTCAATTTGCACTATAGGGCCAAACGCATGAAAATGACATTTTATCGAATAAAATAAGTTTCTGAACTTGACTTGATATGGCGACCTCAAAGAAAATTAATTTAATTTAATTAATTTAAAAAAATTATATATTTTTTTAAATTTCACCGGTTTGTCTACCGAATCAAACTCCAGTGAAATGTATATACTATACAACACTGCAGTAGCTTACCTTTTTTTTGGTAGCTATTACCTGGTAGCTGCCGTCAAACAGGTAAGTTGATGGTAATAGTTGCACTCTTTTGTCAAGTTTTGATTCGAACACTATACCGCCCTGCTGGATATCACGAAAACGTACTATTCTCATTGCGCAAAATTGAACCCTGAAATTGGTAGTTGAGGAAGACCAGACTTTAATAATAGAAAAAGAAAATGGAGACGATTCTTCTATCTTGGAAAATGATGCAACTACAGACGTTTCTGATCCTGATTAATCTATTACTGTTGTTGTACAATCACTTATTCTACTATATAAATATTGTTTAATGAAGAGTTTTTCAATTTTCTGTTAGATATGGATTAATAGTTTTTTTTAAGGATATATAATTCTTTTATTGGTTCAAAAGCCTTTAACTTTACTGCGTTTACCTATTCCAAGTTTCCCAAAAGCTAAAAAATCATCTTATGCACTCAAAAACACTGCTCTATAGTCAAGTAATTTTATCCTAGCATTGTATCCTTTTCTATGACGAGAAGTAAGTACGTGCAGTCCTTCTTTGTCTTGGATGTCGCATGTTCCGAATTTTTTAATTTAAATGTTTTACATTAAATAACTTTTATTTTAAGGCTAGTCCGTATTGGTCGACAAAAGAGTGCAATTATTAATATCAACTTACCTGTTTGACCGCAGCTGCCAGGTAATGGGGACCGAGGTAAACTACTGTGGTGTTGCATATTGAATATAGTATATACTTTTTACTTTTTTAAATTAAAAATAATGTAGAACATTTCCGTTGAGGTTGCCATGTTCAGAAACTTATTTTATTTGTTAAAATGTTCTTTTATCTGGATGATACTGTGGTGAAGGTCGATCTTAGTTCGGATCCTCTACAATTACCTCCCTCTTTCTCTGCGTCTATTTTTTGGGGATTTTACTTCGTGTCGCATACTCTTCAACGTCGTCACAACGGCACATCTTTTTCGGGGTGATTTCCGGTTTATCGACGCTTTCCCGAGAGTACGGCCAATAAGTATACACGTCGAGATGCGAATCCACCACGAACAACTTGTAAACAAAATACCGGCTGATCTTTCTGAAAAACTCATCCCGCTTCTGATTTAAGACTACTATAAAAGTACCGGCTACGTTAAACCGATTACTTTCCACCATCCGCAGAAACGATTCGGACGTCGTATGTCTGAGATCGAACGCGTAAGAAGTGTCGATCGTGGAAAAAGCGTCAGAGGTGGTCTCCAAGTCGATTGCTATTTTTATATGGCTTCGCGTTCTGATATCGACATTCGTAGCGATTTTGTGGGAGGTTTCGAATGTCGACGCGATGAGTTTTTCGACGCAACGGTCGACGTTTCGATCGCCTGCTTGAAGAGATATCGCCCTGACGATGACGCCTATAAAGGCGAGAAGTAGCGAAATGTAGGGGAGTTTCATTGCGTTATTCGGATGGCGACGGTGTCAAATAACGTGAGAGACTTTCCGTGTTCCGTTTATATGAAATTGGATTCGGACGTATCGGAAAATCGGCTGCGATTTTTACACGGGAAAATACTTAAAACGGGCCTATTGATGACTCGTAAATTAATATAATTATATTTATTTCATTAAATTAGAACTAAAAAAATGCATTTGGTACATGTTTTGAAAAAATAAAGACCTAATTCTAGCTATTATAGCTGGTACAAATCTGTAATGTATAATCATTAAAGTGAAAAGAGAGAAAAGATGACAGGAGGACAAGATCTCAGGACATATTTATTGAGACTCTAAGAGCTGCGCTTAAAATTTTTTGATTATTGGTCTAAATTAACAAATAAACAAATAAAAAAGCCAACATCTTATAATCTTTTGTGGTTTGGAATTCCAAGCAAGCAATTTTAATTATTCTCGTTGATAAATTTGAGTTTTAGTTTTAGTTGTTGAAGTTGACACACTTTTTCAGTGACGTCATAAAAAAACCATACCACGTATAATATAGTGAGTAATAGTTGCATTTTCTTCTGTGAATTCGGTTTAAGAAACAAAAAAGTCAAAGTTTTATAAACATTTCAATAACAATGACAGGCCATTTTTGGTTTTTCAACATCATGATTATTATGACTGCATATATATGTTGATAATTTATGAAAAATGAAAAAAAAAACGCTTCTCCACATGAAACGTCGCGTCATAGGCCTATGTACCGTCGAACTAGTCTCGAAATGCACACTCCAAATGTGTTCTATTTTAAATTAGTGAGTTTGGACATGACCAGAACATAAAAAAAAGAAACAAAGAAATTTGAGTCAATACAAGAAACCTTTATTTATATATACATTTTTTTAATTTGCCATTTCTCAGATTGATTTCTCGAAAGAAAAGGTCTTCTTATAATAAATTAGTTCTTTGAAAATGTAAAGCCTGTTTTTTTTTTGTGAAAGTTGGACAGCATCGCAATTTCTATAGCACATTGTACATGTTACGCAAAATTGGACCTAAAATCTCGATGAGGAACACCACAGTGGCGACTACCATCCCGCCTACCCAAAACCAAAACACGAAACTCAACTGCTCCAAGCCTATAACCTTCGACTGCACCACGTTCATCCTGCTCTCCATGAGGAGCACCTTCCTGATAACGTCTCGTCTCTCGTAATCGACGACGCCCGACGCGACCGCGTGATAAATCACCATGTTGAGCCTCTCGAAAGCGGGATACCCCTTGGTGAACATGAACTGGTAGTAGCTCTGAAGTATCGGCAAACCGATATGCAAAATGTAATTGCTGGTGACTGGATCTAAAAAGTGCTCCAGCCTGGCGTACACGATCGGTATGGAGCCGTAAGCTGTCACCGCGTCTCTTCGCTGCGCCACCCTCCTAAGACAAGGCATCACGTCTTTGCAAATTTCAACCCTGGGTAGAAGCATCCGTTCCCAAGGTTTCCCGTTGGTCTCGAACAGTCGCTTCAGCACTGGCGGCATCAGAGGCGTCATATTCAGCTTGAGGGCTTGGATCAGGTGGTTGATCTCGACCTCGGGGGTTTCGGTGAAGAAAATTATAAACAAGCTGTTCTTCAGTATGGTCGACAGCAATATGCATACCAGCAGGTAGGAAACCATGATTAGACGGAACGTGCACTTGTCCAACATACCCACCGCGCCGACTTCTATCAAGCACTGATAAAACCATGTGATCAGAGTGATCCACGAGGTGAGGTAGAAAATTTTGACCACGATCATCACCGCTAAAATTGACATTGTCAGTACGGCGACGGTTTTCGGCCGAAATATGTTGCAGATTCGCTTCCAAGTGGTCTGGTAGGTGGCGCTTGGCGACACCAGATGGTAAGCGTCGATGTACCATACGTACGAACCTTGGAAGTCGTTTGCAGTTTCGTAGGTGGCATAATAGCACCCAGACAGCACGTCGTAGGTTCGGTTTAGTAGCGAATTCATACTGTCGTCTTCATACAGGCCGGTGCGGTGATCTTTCGGTCCTTGATGCTCGAATTCCCTCAACACCGATTCTATCCGCATACCCGTGTGGCGGGAGATCATTTTCAGCACGTGCTGTTCCATACCCTGGTAGTCTGTCCTCACGAACGGTCTCACATGTTTGAAATAAATCTTTAGCGTGGTGTTCCTCCATAGTTGCGGCAACGTAGCTGCAATAAAGCATTTGGACGTCGACGAAGATGATTCTGCATAAATATAAAAAATTATTCTTATTCTTATTCTGTTAGAAGTAACGACTTTGTGGTCTGAATCGTTTATTTTGTTAAAAATTTTGATTACAATAAAAGTTTGAGCTAGGCTATTAATGAAAGTTTGTATGTTGGCAATATCAAAATTAAGGTTCTATTGTGAAATTTTAATAACTCTTCCAGAAATGATTTGAAATTCAGTAACATTGACAAAAAAGTTTCAATAGTTATCATTTAACTAAAGAACAAAAATCAAGTATAAAAACAAGGAGTTTCAAAACACGTATCTGTAATGTCTAGGGTAAAACTGAATTTATTTTTTAAAAAGCGAAATTTTCATCGGTTTTGTGCTGGGTTAATGAAAAATAAATTTCTTATGTGGTCTAAGTTCGGCAGTCTAAGAGAAATTCTATATACTTAAGATCGTGTTCGTAAATGAAGCAAAAGGTTTAATGTTTGAAGGGAATATAGTGAAATATGACAGAAATGACATCCTTGACAAATTATCTGACATTTTCAAATTCCATAAGCACCGAGATGCAATACAACTTTTATTTAAAAAACATAAAAAAAAATCCTAACGCCGTTCGATGGGTGAGTACTTGAAAAGTGTGTTCCCTTGTAAATTATAAAATATTGTGTTCTATTTAAATTAATTACGTTATAACCACTTAAATTTGTCATTGGATTAGCATCAATTCGGATATAAAACATGATCTCTTGTTGCACTCTACTGTAAATTGATCCGATATTTTAAATATTTCGTATTACATTATGAGAAAGTTCAAATTATTGAAACACAGAATTATTTTGGCAGTTGAACCCAAAAATGCAATAATATAAAGGGGATTCCATTAAAAAAAAGTACAAATTTCAAACTTTAAACTCTTTTGGGATAACCCGTACATTAATATTATCACTTTCTGAAAACCTTGTCTACTGGTCATATCCAGTGCAGTACAGCGTGAATTACCCCCTATATCAAAAGCCCTTATTTTATTATTATAAGGTATATTTAAGCATCCGAAATATTTCCGTTGGTTACTTACGATTTTCTAAAAAGGTTAAAAACGTTTTTACTTATACTTTACTTTGTACTTTTTGGGTTTTATAGCTTATTTTTATGCTGCAGCAGAATTGGCATGAAAAAGAATATAGCATTTGAAGCAATATTCCTGAAACTTGGAGTCATATTACTTCAAAATTTACAATTAACATATGATCTGTACTTCAATTGCAAAAAAAAATCGTGAAACATAATTTTAGATATCAGGCTGTTACAAAAATTAAGTAAAAAATAAAATTGTTCGATAAATTCTTGGTGCCAAAATAAAAGGTCACGACAACTTGGTAGTTACAGATAAATGGGAGGTAAAAGTTTTATATGAGACTCAAATTTAATCACCGTTATCTTTAGAACAACTCAATCGTTTCGCTTTTCAGGTTTTATGAAATAGGTAAGATAAGATCGACCCGCACCATAGTGCCATACGCATGAAAATGTTCAAGATTATTTTTAATACAAATTTAATCTAATTAAATTTTTATAAAAAAAATTGTCTTTTTTTTTTATTTCACCGGTGTGTCAAACAAAACTAAGAGTTGATGTTAATAGTGGCAGTCTTCTGTCAAGTTATGATTCAAACACTATACCGCCCTGCTGAATATCATAAAAACGTACTATTTATGTCAACTGAATGTGGTTACATGCAACTGATCCTCTTGAGCAAAGTTGAACCCTGAAAATGGCGTGGTTTCTAGATGATATTTTGGAGATGGCAGAAAAAGGAAATGGAGACGATTCTTCTAAAGATTTGAATTAAAAATAATCTTGAACATTTTCGTTGAGGTTACTATGTTCAGAAACTTATTTAATTTGTTAAAATGTTATTTTTGATCTGGTTGACACTACGGTCTGTCTTTCTCTGCGTCTATTTTTTGGGGATTTTACCTCGCATCGCGTACTCTTCAACGTCGTCACAACGGCACATCTTTTTCGGGGTGATTTCCGGTCTATCGACGCTTTCCCGAGCGTACGGCCAATAAGTATACACGTCGAGATGCGAATCCACCACGAACAACTTGTAAACGAAATACCGGCTGATCTTTCTGAAAAAATCATCCCGCTTCTGATTTGAGACTACTATAAAAGTACCGGCTACGTTAAACCGATTACTTTCCACCATCCGCAGAAACGCATCGGACGTCGTATGTCTGAGATCGAACGCGTAAGAAGTGTCGATCGTGGAAAAAGCGTCAGAGGTGGTCTCCAAGTCGATTGCTATTTTTATATGGCTTCGCGTTCTGATATCGATATTCGTAGCGATTTTGTGGGAGGTTTCAAATGTCGACGCGATGAGTTTTTCGACGCAACGCTCGACATTTCGATCGCCGGCTTGAGGAGATATCGCCCTGACGATGACGCCGGTAAAGGCAAGAAGTATCGAAATGTACGGGAGTTTCATTGCGTTATTCGGGTGGTGATGGTGTCAAATAACACGAGAGACTTTCCGTGTTCCGTTTATATGAAATTCGATTCGGACGTATCGGAAAATCGCCTGCCACTTTTACACGGGAAAATACTTAACGGTGCTATTGATGACTCGTAAATGAATGTAATTATATTTATTTGATTAAATTTCAATTTAATGAGCGTCATCTATATGTGAAATAAATACAGGTGTGTTGGTAACTAAAAAAAATGTATTTGGTACATGTTTTCATAATCATTAAAGTAAAGGGAGAGAAAAAATGGCAGGAGGACAAGATCGTAGCACACAACATTTATTTATTGAGGCTCTAAGAGCTATGCTTAAATTTTCGCCTTAAATGCAAGAATCGTCTTAAAAAAGCCAACATCTTATATTTTTTATATCAAGCAGACATTTTCAATAAATGTCTCTGATAAATTTGAGTACGAAAGTTTTTTCATGAAGGTGCTTTAGAGTTTTAGTCTTAGATATTTTGTATATAGAGCTTCATAATAATATCCTTCTGTTGAGCGTATCGTATATATGTAGGTAAAGGAATTAAAAAATATTCTATTATTATTACATTAGTAAAATTCAATTTTTTTTTCCAAACTTGGACACAATTTTTTTGGGAAATGAGAATGGGAATCATATTGGCAGGCACGTATCCCGTTGATTTTGGCCGCATAAGACAGTAAATAAATATTGTATAAATTATATAAGTATATTATATAAATGTTGTTTAGCTTATTTTTAAAAGAAAAATCGAAGTTTGCAGAAAATGATTGCAAAGTAATTCATTATTTGTTACTTAGAATCGATGGATACAAGTACAGAATGCTACATTGTTAAAACAACTAATTGTACCTGAGTTTCAGAAGTCCACAAACAAAACCTACTTATAACTCTTCTCGTTTTTCTTCTGTAACAAATATGAAATGAAAAAATCATCAAGTTGTCGCACTTTTTCAGTTTCGTCATAAAGAAACCAAACAGAAATCAGTATAATATAGTGAGTAATAGAAAATTCGCTTTAAGAAACATTATATTACGACAATGATTATCACGACTGAATTCACAGCAGCTTGCTTCTAATTGACTCTCGGAGAAAGCCTAAGCTCAAATAAACGAAACGTCTACCAAAACTAGTAAACTAGTAAAAAATGAAAAGCGGTTTTGAATTTTGGCACATACTATAGTAAACAGTATGCCCCTAAGGCTGGGAAGGTTGAAAACCCCTGCCTGCCTACCTAGTTCAATTATTTTAAGAAGCATATTAGATGATAATATGAAAGGGCGCAAAAAAATGACAGCGTCATTGAATTTTTAAAAAATCGCTCAAGGACTATTAAACGACGTCAATGATGATTCTGATATGCCCGAAAATGTCATAACTGCTCTAACAAAAGCCTAGTCGTCTCAATGGGAGAACCCAGAATTGCCAAGACAGAAAGAAGCATGTCAAGTTAAATCAAATGTCAAGGTTTTGCTTATCGTTATCTTTGATTATCGTGGCATAGTAGATCAAGAGGTCTTACCATAAGGTCGTACGGTCAATAAAGAGTATTACGTTATGCCCCATTTGCGAGAAGCAATATGAAGAAAACGTCCGGAATTGTGAAGCATTTCTGGACTTTGGATTACGATAACGCACCTGTTGCGTGCTTGTGTCTAACTTTTTGGCCGAACCAGCCACCATATTCACCGGATATGGGCTTCTGCGACTTTCTCCTGTTCCCGAAACTCAAAAAATCCCATGAAAGGATGGAGGTTTGGAACGAATGAGGAGATAAAAAAATTCGCTGCAAGAACTCAAAGCTATACCAGAAAGTGCTCACCAGAAGGAAAAAATATTGACACAAGTATATTATATCTGGGGGGGGATTGCTTTGAAGGGGACGACATTAATTATGATGAATAAATAAATACTTTTTGATAAAACTCAAGAGTCTTACTTTTTGAACACAACTCGTAATTCTTTCTTGCTGTTTTATTTCCAATCTCCGATGTCAATGACACAAGTTTTTTGTTTCCAGGTATATTTTAATTGAATAGAAATCTTAAGCATTTACGTCCCCATATTATCTAATAGCTTAATAGCTGTATGGTTATACCAGTTGGATCCCCGTTCGGCACAAAGTTAAGAATGGATCATAGTTTCCGTTTTTTGCGTAAATCCCAAAGTCTCATGCATAATTGGCGCAGGGGTTTTCGTGTTTACGTTCGTCCACTCACGTCAAACGTCAATAGAAATAAAAAATACCGCACAGCATGGCGGATTACTAATCGTTTATGTGCCGCACCTCACCAAATAAACTTCTGCGGTGTAGGTACATCACCGGGAAATCTTGCGGTTTGATTGCTTCGATTTAAAAACGGAAGGAATTCGACAATTTACCGGCACAGACGGTTTGACCTTTTCGCGTTCAGGTTCTTGGTTTTTGCCGGTGTATCAACGCGGGGATATTTTCCTCGTTTTTGTCGGTTTCGGGAAAAAATAAATAATCGGTTCGGTAAAAATGGTGAAGTTCGTGAGCTGTTTGGACGTGTTCGTCACCTCGTCGAGAAAATATTTTGTAAGTTTCTCACCGTTATCGATACCGGTCTAGCTTCAAAATAACATTTTCTTTTCTATTTAACAAACTGGTTAAAATTGAATTTGGAAAATTGGTAAATAAAAATGAAATATTTTTACAAAACTTCTGGATTCCTCCTGCGTCGGTTTTTGCTGAGTCGAAGTTTTTGTAAAAAGTATGAAATAATTATATTATCATCATTTTCGCGTAAGCACTTCAAAAGAGTATAGCAATTAACTTTTAAATATTTCGTTTTTAAATAAAACCTTTAACAAATTTAAAAGGATAAAAAACCAGCCATAATAATTTATGTTTTTTATTTTTTTGCGGGGTCGCAAGAAACAGTTTTCTTTCTATAAAACAAAAAAAACAAACAATTAAAACTAAACATTTTGCGGAACTATAATAGTAAAATTAGACGTTATATATGCCTCGTGGGTAACTAAATTTAAAAAAACTATTAGGAACACTGTATAGGGTAAAAGCTGTCTCAATTTTTATGAAAGAGAAAATTTTACTCCCAGGGAGATTTTCAAATTTCTGCTGACTAAAAAAATCCATGAAAATCAAAAACCCATATGTTTGTAATTGGGGAACAGAAATGATGCAAAGAGAAAGAAATCTGTGTTGCCAAAATTATTCTATTATTTTGATAGTCAACTAACCAACGAAACGTATATGATTTTAACCTATTCTTCTCAATTATTAGTGACCACAGCGCCACAAGTTGTTGAATATGAATAAACGGACCTGTTTGACGCTCTTTCAATCACATTCTCCTCCAGAGCCTCCTCAAAACTGACATTTTATAACATCATGCCACTACCTATTAATTAGATCATAATTTTACCTTGCCAGTAGATTAGATTTCTCCTTGGGGCGTACAAAATTCTCTGTTGTTTTATGGAAAATATTTTACAAAAACCAAATTCCTCGGTTCTGGTATTTTCTTCCTAACACATTTATTACCAATTTTTCAAAAAAGCACCAATGGCGTTTCCTGGGAATTCAGTTGCTTTACTACTATGAAAATTGAAATTTTAAAAAGAATGTTTTTGCGCGTTTTTAGATACATAAAAAACTAAGCCAACTTTTCAAATTAGTACAAAAAGGGTAAGGGAAAAGTGTATTGCCAACAAACTTGGTAAATAAGGAATAAATGTGTACAGGAAGAAAATACCACTACACCTCTAAATACAAAACTTCTACCCCCCTTTAATCGTATTGGTGTAAGAGTTTTACTGCTTCGTTTTGTATAATTTTCTATACTCTGGAAAGTAATTGTTGCGTGAAGAGTAGAATAGAAAGAGGACGCCGACATTTAAATTATCCGCTTTTTATTAATATTATTATAAGAGACGTTCCTGATACTTAGTGCTCTGCGAACGTTTCGTGTCAAGCTGTCGGACCATTCTAATTTGTCTTAATGATCAAACACGCTCACTATCTGGTGTTCCTGTTTTGCTAAATTCCAATTTTTATCTTCGTTAAACGGGTTACGGTGCACTTTTTAGATATTTCGCTATCTGCGGTCAAGTGCTTTATGATTAATAAAAATAATGGAAGGAATGTCAAACAAAACAAAATATTTTCTATCGACGTCCTATCAAATTAGGGCAACGAGCTTATTTTTGGGCACCAAAACAAAGAATATCTTTTGGGTACGCGCGAACGTCGAGGTCATTTGAACGATTAGCAACTTGTTTACATTGATCTGCGAACCGATAACTTACCTCTACCTATAAGGTCCATGAGATCGCAGATATAATTGGTCATTTTTAAAAATCATTGATTTAAATTTTTAGGCATTAGCGACGTCCATGCTATTAAAATAAGAAAATTTATATTCTCAAAGCCCATCTCAATCAATCAGGAATTTTGTCATTTTGGAACGCTGTCAAAATTTCGAGTACATGTGCGTTATTATCGCATATTATTTTCTTATAAGATTACGAGAACAACAGACATTGCGTGATATTTTCTGCAGATCGAGAGATAGCGGGAAGATTTAGGAAATCGACATTATTGTGCAAAGATATCTCGGCCTTTATCTATCAATGAGCCACGCTGTCGCTTTTGTTAGACCAAACGTTATGCGCAATTAACGCAAATGTTAAAAAACTAACCAACTCTTAACCTTCGTCGTACCGCGGTCAAAAAGTTACGTAGAACACCATGTGGGGTACAATTGTATCCCACTCTAATATTTATAATGCATATTGTATTTATTTAAAAAAAAAAGACGAACTCCTCTACTCATATTAATTCTTACGTTTTCCCATACATAATCTGCAAATTATGTGTTTTGCACTATGGTCGCAACGTTGTTGAATGGACTTGCGATCTTTCGTTCTATTGCACAAATAACATTGTCCAGAGACAGGTCGTTTTTCCAATTCTGGAAACATTTCTAGCACATATAATTTGACACTGTTGAGAATTCTTAGTTCTGTTTTAAATCTTCTTATGACATTTTCCCTAGTCAATGACTCTCCTAAGTCCAAAAGAAATTTTCTTCTGCTGTCTTTGCTTTTTGATTTTTCGTCTGGAAATTTTGCACTCCACAAAATAAATGCATTTAGTGCCGCGACGTCTAATAGCTGTCCAAAAATTGCCATCGGTCATCTATTACTAATTTGACGAGCTGAATATTCTTTTACCATTTTATCCGTAGTTTTGTTTTCTTATAATGTCAGGTTTGTACTTCATATTTTCTTCCGCAACAGAATGATCATGATGCTCCGAAGACAACATGAGGACAGCCTTATTCTTGCTAGGCACATAGGACACAATTGTATGTTGTTTCCGAAAACTTTTCATATAAACTCTAAATGAACAACGACCTCTAAATCCAACTAGTTGCTCATCTACTGTAATATGGGTTCCGGGATTATAACACTTTTTGAAATTGTCCACAAACATGTTGAAAACTTCTCTTACCGCTGCAAGCTTATCAGTTTTCTTTCTGAGTTCCCTTGTTTTTGAATAGAAACAAACTCGTTAACAGTTGAAAACGTGAGCGAGACATAGTTGCAGGAATAACTGGTCTAGTATAACCTCGCTTGGTATATCACAACATTACTATCGATTCTTTTGAAGCTTGAAGGGTACCTAAGATCAAAATGAGGTCAATGTATGCCTTTATTTCAACAGCATCTTGTTGGTTTCCATATGCGTTGTAGAGGTTGTGTTTGATTTGGGTGTTTTTCATCCCAAAGTTTGAAAGTCTGAGAAATTGGAGGGTATTAGTGAATAATGCCATATAAAATTCGATAACTTTACCTGTTCTTTAATTGCGTCTGTGTGTAAGTGGCATTTTATACCATTTTGTGTTATCTTTGGTTCGATAAAATAACCTATCTTCTTCTAAGATTTCTTCACTAACGCCAGTCTCTATTACGCTGCTCACAGCACCACTGTCATTTTCTTCTTCTATAATCACATCTTCAGATATTAGAGCACCACGTTATTTATTCTTTCTATTATATCAGCTTCAAAATCTATCATTTCCGGAACATCACCACTATCTTCTTCACCATCACAGAGTTCTCTGTCAGCATCATCGAGATCGTCATTCAGTAATTGTTCTAACTCATTGGTTAATTCATTTGGATTGTGAATATTTATTTTATCAGACATTGTGTAACATTTCACATTTCATGTCTGACACCAGCTGATATTTACTGTATTGCTACCGTGACTAATCAAAATGAGTATCTTGGCATACCATACGCAACCATTAAAAATATTTTTTTGTTGACTCTTTTGATGCATGCATAACTAAAATATACAGAAAATGAATCTGTAAATACATACCAGATGACAATAAATAAAATTTGCGGAAGCCTTGTGTAAAGCTTTGAAAAAGATTATTGGAAAATTGAGTTGTTGGGGCACATTTGTACCCCACATGGTAGGACGAAGGTTAACTCAGGTCCTGTCAAAATTAAGAATGGAGAACTAGTTCACAAAAATGACAGCTTAATACGCTGACGAATTACACACCTGTGGAGATTGAAGTTAGAATAATGCTAACCTTCTTTTTACACAAACACAAATTAATGTTTTAGATGTTAATTTAATAATTTAAAACACAAATCACATCTTTGAGATGTGCGTTACTTTAAAATTTCATAAATTTCTACTCAACTGTCCTGGCGATTATGCAAAACAAATGTATAAAACCGTATATATAGGGTGTTTTATAATAAGCTTTAGCTATAGCTTTATTTTTAGTATACAGTGTGTTGAAATTCACAAGAAAACGGTTTTTTTTTTGTTTTAGGTGTTTTTTTTAAATTGGTGCTTTATTCTGGTGAACCTTATTTTTCTACTCTTTATTTACCATTTAAAAAAATATAATTACATTTTTAAAATCTGCTCTTACTCATTAATAAGAATTTAAAAATTAAATTTTGGGGCATTACGAAGTATAATTCCCCCAATTCATATGTTAAATGTTTTTTGCCCAAAATTTCTAAATAATTTGTAAACTGAATATTACCACAAAACGATAGGCACTATCGCCCAATTTTGAGCCACCCTGTAGCTATACCGTTTAGACTTGGACAAAACATATAATGCATTGGATCAGTCTCTTAAATTGATAAACAATACCTTTTCCACACACCTGCGTGAAGTATTATTATCATTAAATATTTAAGTAATGTCTACTGTATACTATTTCCAAAGTGTAAGTCGCTATACTTACACAGATCGTACTAGGTATTCATTTATTTTTTTTTATATGTATTTTTCCTGCCTAGTGCTGCTACCCTCTTCTTAGGACAGGTTTAAAAACGGAGGCACAAATTATGTTATTTTGTTCATCCGAACCGTGTCCTTTTCATTGTATATTAATACGTGAATAAAAATTATTATTATTATTATAAACGATTTATTTTTAAAAATTGACAAATAACTTGCTATGATAAAAATAATTTGCGAATGTTGTGCTGACGAAACGTTCTCTACCTCCAGACGAAACAAACGGAGCAGCAGGACCCGCAAGAGGACGTGCACCAGCAGTTCAAAAAACTCGACGAATCCGGCGTCGAACAGGTGTGTCCCTTGAAAATCATCGAGACCGAAGATAAGCTAGAGAAGGAAACGGAAAATTCATCCAAAGTATCGTCCAGGCTATCCTGCGTATCCAAAAGTCAAATGAAAGGTCGGTCCCCTTCCCGCAGCTGCTGTAATATGCCTCCTCACGTTCGTCGTTCTTTGTAGAATTCCGAGAGGCATTCCGGCTGTTCGACAAGGACGGCGACGGTAGCATCACGAAGGAAGAACTCGGCAGGGTGATGCGGTCGCTTGGTCAGTTCGCGAGAACCGAGGAGCTGCAGGAAATGCTCCAAGAGGTCGACATCGACGGTGACGGCAACGTCAGCTTTGAGGAATTTTTGGATATTGCCTGGTCCGCCGCAGGATCCGACCCCGACCAAATCCTTTCTCGCGAAGAGGAAGAGAAAGAGCTCAGAGATGCCTTCAGGGTGTTTGACAAGCACAACAGGGGTTACATCACTGCGTCGGACTTGAGGGCCGTCATACAATGTTTGGGAGAAGATTTGTCGGAGGAGGAGAGTGAGTACCACTTACTCATGTCTCGTCTAACTGATTTTCTAATTTCGATAATATTAATTATCCTTTGGTTTGATATGACAAAATCACTCAAACTGACTAGACGTACGTCAAGCAGGCCCACAAAGCCCGTAACAACTGAAAATATCCAAAAAATGTGGCAGCAAGATAAGATAATAAAGTTAACAGTATAATATCATAAGTGCATCTAATTTTTATAAATTTTCCACAGAAAAAGAGGCACCAATGAAATTTTATTATTTATTATTATTAATAATATCATAATTTATTATAACGACCAAATTAATTTAATGGATACTATTTCCAAAGTTACAATTTACATAAAACTAGAACTAATTTAACATTGAAATGAAAAAATGTGAATTAATTAGAAATTAACACTGCATAATCACTTGCCAAGGAAATAATTTCATTTTCGACTTCTTTTATAGAAAATTATTATTATTATTATTATATAGAAATTCTTTTTCAGTTCTACGCAATAGATTTTGCGGTTATAAATTAAAAAAGCTCCGTTTCAAACATAAACGACAAAACTGACATTTTCGCGCAAGAAATTAATGAAAATTAAAAAGTTGGCGAACTTTTTAATGTCAATATTAACGGTTTAGTGGAGTTGCAATTTTATTTATTATTAATTTAACTTTTTACTCTAAACTTTTAATTAGTGTAATTGTTAATGGATGCTTGTGTGAATTCATCGTTACAGTTTTTTTATAGGGAAATGCGTATAATTAATAATTCGTCCAAATTGACGAAAAGTAAATAACCATAGAAAACCCACAATCGTGAGGGAAATTTATTATACTCACTTCAAAATGGCGGACAATGTGGCCCTTTTTTATTATTAATTACGAAAAGTAAATCATTTCTTAGAAAAATAACTTAAGGTTAAGGTTAAAAATTCCTAAATGTAGTTCCCTACTATGTTAGTGCCGAATACGTACATATCACGTGGCCCGGCTTCCTAGTTTGTTTGCATTATATTATCGACACGGTTGCTTGGCAACGCCTGCTTCGCGTCACAATAAAACGTCTACCTTTGCGCAGTATCGAGTATGCTAGGTCTATTGTTTAAGTTTCAATGTTTTACAATGTCTCTTTCTCACGCATCCGATACTTGGCTACATTTGTACTAAAAATAGCTATTTTCTCTACCTGTGTTCTGTTAACTTGATATTTCGTTTCAATGTTTCAGTTGAAGATATGATAAAGGAGGTTGATGTGGATGGCGATGGCCGCATAGATTTCTACGGTAAGATGATTTAGATTCTATATCGCGTGACTAAAAACGAACCTCTAAAGGAGTAATAAGTAATAAGTAAAAAAATTTTCTTTCGCACTCTACTTACTTGGTGAATTTTTCCATAAAAACTTTTGGATTTAATTTTTGACAGTTTAGCAAAATTTTTCCATCGCTGCTAGCATCTTTTTAGAAGCGATTTTTGCTAGAGTTTAATAACAAACAATAAAAAATCTTTTCCAGAATTCGTCAACGCTTTAGGAGAACCGGGAAACGACGACAGCTACGAAGAAGACGACGACGAATACGCCGGCTTTTAAAACGAAGAAAATGTTCTCAAGCACTCATAATCAAATTTTTCAATGAATCTTATATCGTGATCTTACAATACTATCAGTTTAGCGTTTTGTGTATATAATGATGTGTTATATTTATTTATTTTTTATTGTTGTAGAGAAGTTTAGTAATTTATATTAAAACGGGACCTAAGTCCAATTTATGTGGTGGCCGGATTCGATCGGCCATCGTGCAAATTCCATTGTTTCGCTGTTACGTATTCACTCTCAGCTCCGAAAAACGATTGCAAAACGATCGTCATCGATTTTTTATATGTCTCCACTTTTCAAGCCGCAGAAAATTATTGTATTAATTAAGAAAGAATGAAGATGGAAATAAAGTTCTACGCTGCATCATACGCGAGTGTTTTTAAAAAACTCGAGTGCTGGGAATCCCTTTTTCGCGATAACCGCGATAAGTTTTGAAAAATTTGAGAGACTTCTACAAGCTATCGAACATACACATTTATCTGTCGATACCATAATATTTAAAAATAAATTGGTGTACAGGGTGTCGCAGTTGTTATAAGCCATTTTAAATAAGCGAAGGGTAATAAATTGGGAAATTCCGATGTACTGTAGAGTTATTCATTTTGATTACTCATTTAATTATTATTTATAACGGAGTAAATTAAATTGAATAACCTTTAATGACTGCCTGCCTGCACTCGTTAAAAAGAAAAGAAAAAAAACATTTGTTACTCCATTTTAATTAGAATTATGTTTCTGTTCAAATAATAGGGTTACGATTTCTACCATCCGTGGTTACTTTTGGTTACTTCGATTACATCAAGTAGAACTTCAACATGTTTACAACACGCAGTGATACGTAATCTTTGAGGTTAGATGCAAGAGCAACGCACATGTTGCTGGGGCATCGTTTTTCAAGACATTTCTGCAGAATATCAATATTTTAGGAAAAAAATTGGTAAAAAAATATTTTAAGCAGTTGTTTTTTCTTCATTCGAGGAGTATCTTGGTAGTGACGCGTGCATTTCTTAATTAGTCAACATTAGTTAAGATTATGACGACATATTTGTTTTTCTTTCAATGCATCTCGAAAACGCAAAAAATTGTTGAAATACATTTTTTGTTAAGTACACCAATAAAGGTCTAAAATATTGCAAAAAGGACTGTCTTTTGTCAGTTGCGAGAAATGTACAATGTATCATCCCATCCCGTAGGATCCAGTGGCGTAGTAGGGGTTTTTAATGAAACACCCTGCACACCTGTTAATAATTTTAATACGCTTGTTATTAGTTTTTGAGGAATACATAACACATCTTTAATTTGATTTTTTTAAAGAAACGTAATTGTAAACGAAGAAAAAGTAGGAAGAATTAGTAGATTAAATTGAAGTTACATGCTTTGTATATAAAGTTTTTGTGTGTTACATAACCCTAATGTATTCTTTAAAGAAACTTCCACGAGCTACTGTAATACTTTTTACAAAACTTCTGTATTCCTCCTGCGTCTGTTTTTGCTGAGTCGAACTTGCTGCCCTATGACATTTTTCGTGGCACTTAAGCTTTTTATTATTTTTGTGGCTTTTAACCATCAAGTCGATTTATTTTTGACTATAACTAAATTTACCCAAATTTTTCGGAAGCTTCTGGCCATCGCGCCTCACTCTCCCCTACTTATAATATTATGTATAAGAATTAATAGATTAAAATATATGTTATTGGTATTTATAAGATTTTCTAATTCTCTGGCGTTAGGCTAAATCCATAGAATTATCCAAAAAATAACACTTTCAATAAATTAAAAATTGATTCGGTTATAATGAACATGCAATAACCTTTTTTCAGAGGTTCATTTTACTCTTGGCATTACGGAATTACGCAATTTTGGTTAATTTTTGAAGTGGGGATCACTGTAACACAGGATATTTCCTTCGAGTTCCGCAGATCTATCAACTATGCTCAAACTGAATTCTTCACATTCATCAACTATGGTAAAACTAGATTGAAGTGATTTATTCTCAAATTTTAAAAATTTGAAAAAAAGTTAAAAAGAATCGAATAATCAAATTGACGCCAAAAAATTGTCAATTTTTTGAAAATAAATCGATAGAACCGGTAAACATATCAAAAGCCGTTGTTTTAACCTGTACGTCACAGGTTAAAATTTGCTAAAAATGCAGTGCCCCTTTCACCACCCTGTATAATAAAAATCCCTGAATTTGAAAAACTTGTACAAAAACATAGTGACATCGGTTAAAATGAGACTTTGTAATCCGAAATCCCGACCCAAAAATCCCTTTGGTTCGGCTTTAAAATCGAAGCGTTCTGATTGAACAAACAGTAGCGATAGTACCGGCATATTGACAAACTTAATCCGTTAAATAAAATACGGAAGACTTTAAGCTTCAAAAATAAATCTTATCGATCGATCAACCGATTCGACGTGTTATTTTGACTTCTCGAAACCAATTGGTGACGTACCAGACGGGTCGCGAACCACTCACCAAACTAACGGCAACTTCCATACCAAATCGCCTGCCGCACGGGCATCGTACTAAAAACACAAAAAAAAATTGGCCGCCCCACACGGGGCCAAGTGATTTCTCTCAATCGCACGTTTCTTATCAACACCCTATACTTCAGATTAGCGACGAGGGTATCATGTACGCGAATCTTATCGGCGATATTGTTTCCAAAACGAGGAAATCGCGTCAAAGATTTTTGCCCAGCATCGAATTAGTGTTCGTGAGTGTGTATCGATGAGTACCACAGGGTGTTGTGCAGCATGATCGTCTCCGGGACACTACTTGTAGTCGTATTTTCCTACTTCGTAATCGCGGAAGCCGCAAATCAGGATCTCGATGACGATGGTGGTGAGCTACTAGATATATGGAGGCTCTGCCCACGCATTATCAATGCAGAAATTTTACGACCAATAAGACCTGTGTTCAACAAACAACTTGGTCGCTGACAATTCGTCAATTCGGCAGGTTACAGTTTAGATGTAGCATTTTCACCGCAGTATTTTCTCAAAATATGCCTAGATCTCGTACAATGTTCTGGGAAAACTAACTAACCAACCAATTTCCATTAATAAACTGACCTGCGCGTTGAGGGTCGTTGGTGAAATACTTCAAACCTTTTTGTGACTAAAAGTTGGAACGAATATTATGATAAATATCTTAATTGCTTTAATCATTAAAAACAAAAATTTGGTAACAAAGGGTGAAGAAAATAAAAAATCCAGCACACCCAGATACTGTTACAGCCCAAAATTTACAATTAAATTAATAGACAGGTAGAGGAACAGACAACGCTTGAAGTGGGAGTGAATTAAGGACAGAAAGTATTTAGGTAAAGGTTTAATTAGGTAAAAACGAAAATGAAATTGTTTACATAGTGCTTACCCAAAAGTCAATTTTTAAATTTATTTTTCAAGATCAATAGCGTTAGAGAAAAGTCTATTGAGAAGATATATTGATTAATCCTATTTACAATTTGGAAAGAGAAGGACCTTTTCAAATGCTCTTTCCGATGTTGTGGCCCGTTAAGGGGACCTCGTCTACGGAGATTAATTTTGTTGTACAAATAGTGTCGCACATTGAATGATTTATCGATTAAACACATTCAACCAGCCTGATCCAATCAGATATGGTGAAATATAAGGTCTACGTCTAACGCCATAACCATTTTAGACTATTGTATACAACCTTTCACTTGCTTGTAATGTGCTTTCTAAATTTTAGGCAATAATCTAGAGTAAGTCCTAAACTTTTTTGAGTTATTTATATAGTATTTTTCGTTGAATTTAATATCATCAATTTGATTGTCATATCCAAATATCATTACTGAGGATTTGTGAGGATTATCTACACCAGTGACAGAATCATAAAATCTGTTCAAATCAGATTTAATATTGTAGGAAAGTATAGTTGAATGTCAACGACATTAAGATGATTTTGTAAACATGGATGTAAAAATCGTAAATCTAAAATAGAAATAGGCATGAGTTGATGTTTTAAGTATAACTTTTTGTTTTCCGGCATTCATTAAACCCTACGTGATGAAGAATTGAAATGTGGATTTCATGATTTATTATTAAAACTTAAATTATGTATACAATATACTGTACAATTGTGGGGCAACAAAGTTGCAATAAAGTGATATTGCTGCTGTCAGTGAATGGCGCCTTAGTTTTAGTGGTATTAATAAGCACTTCAATATATATATATATATATATATATATATATATATATATATATATATATATATATATATATATATATATATATATATATATATTCTCACGTATTGATTCACGGATGGAAAAATATGATGACACTATATTCTGGGATATCATCCGTTCGCTTGTTGAACTCCGACTGGAATTCTGCAGACGTTTCGCCAAAATCTGCTTCAATGCTCGCGCTCCGAAAACACTTCGAACACTGGGAGGTTATCGGCGGTGCGTGCGGTATTTATACCCTGCGCCGGACATGGTAACGGTGATATATATATATATATATATATATATATATATATATATATATATATATATATATATATATATATATATATATATATATATATATATATATATATATATATATATATATATATATATATATATATATATATATATGATGACACTATACTCCGGGATATCATCCGTTCGCTCGTTGAACTCCGACTGGAATCCTGCAAATCCTGCATCCGACTGGAATCCTGCAGACGTTTCGCCAAAATCTCACTTGGCATCTTCAATGCTCGCGCTCCGAAAACACTTCGAACACTTCGGAGCGCGAGCATTGAAGATGAAAAGTGAGATTTTGGCGAAACGTCTGCAGGATTCCAGTCGGATGCAGGATTTGCAGGATTCCAGTCGGAGTTCAACGAGCGAACGGATGATATCCCGGAGTATAGTGTCATCACATTTTTCCATCCGTGAATCAATACGTGAGAATATATATATATATATATATATATATATATATATATATATATATATATATATATATATATATATATATATATATATATATATATATATATATATATATATATATATATATATATATATATATATATATATATATATATATATTTCCAATAGAAAAAATAAACTTTTGTAACATTTTTTTTAATAAAAACATATTATTAACAATATTAATGTGACGGATGTGATTGTTTATTTTTATACAAATAATTAAATCTAGGCTCAATTTGAACGGTATTTTGATTTTATGTAAATTAATGTGGAAAAGGCTGATTCACATAAATATGTTGTACAAAATGGCAGTAATTTGTTCATTGCCATTTCCGATAGTAGGGGATATTCTGATTTGACAGGCACTTGAGAAAATCTTAGTCGAAAGGTAGTATCACTTGTTAATTCGGCAAATTCTTCTTGTGCTTTTAAGTTTAAAAAATTATTTTCTTCCATTTCAATTGAAAATGGATTGCAAATCCATTGTTGTATATTGATATCATTGGAAAAATACCTATGCATGTAAACTTCCATATCTTTCAAATGATTAACTATAATTTTTGTTATAGGAGTATCTTTTTTTGAAATATTGTTACTAATTATATACTCGTCAGTAAATGGAAACATTTCGAGCGATCCACTTTCCACTCTATTCTTCCATATAAGAGTTTTTTTAACAAAGGCCTCAAGTTTATTTTTTAACATAAATATATTAACGCAGACTCCCTGCATTGATAAATTCATATCATTGATTTTATCAAAAATATCTGCCAAATAGCATAGCTTGAGAAGCCGTAAATTATCGTGAAATTAATCGGCCAAATTAGAATTTTGCTCTGTTAGAAATATAAGAACTTCATCTTTTAAAGTTAATAATCGTTTCAAACTTCGACCTCTTGATAGCCACCTAACTTCAGCATGTAGCAATAAACTTGTATAATATGCTACTTCCATATTTTCATTTATATGCCCTACATAACAGTTTTGCATTGCCACTTCTTTCAAAAAATAGTTATAATAAAACTACAATAGTATTTTGTATGATTTTTATTTGTATTTATATTTGTATGTAATGTGTATACTAATTTTAAAATTTTATTTATAATGATTGAAAAGTATCAGATCTTTGCGACCCCTTTTCAGTAGACTAGCGACCCCCCTGGGGGTCGCGACCCACAGTTTAAGAAGCCCTGGTCTATATATTAGATAATAGATATAGATAATAGTTGGATAGACTGTGAGATGCAAAATGCAAACACTGCTTAATTTGGAACAATCGGTTTCTTCTCATAGCATCCGCCACCATATTGTTATGCATATCGTTATTGGAATTCCAATAAAACCTCCTTCCTGGTAATTTATTGTGTCCGCTCAAAATGAGGATTGCCAATGTACATTTTAACTCTTCCGCAGTGAGTTTAGGATCGGACCAATTCCGAAAAGTTGCATATTTGGTTGATTCATTGATAATGAGGGAGCATAGGTCACCGTCAAAAAAAGTTCGAATTATTGCGGTGGCGTCTTATTCACATATTCAGAATAATCTGGGATTGGAAAATCTCGACAGCAATTATTTTCGATATCTCCTTTGATCCATGAAAATTTCCTCTCTTCTTTTTTTGTAGCTTTGTTTTTCTTATTTTCTTTTTCATTCCGGATTTCAGGTGATGTCATGTCTTTATCAGTATCACTATCACTTAGTTGACGCAGGCGATTAATCCTCTCATTGTTAGGCAAAACCAGTTCCGCTTGTGCCGCTAGTTAACGAGGCGGTAGATGATCTATGTCGCCTTCGTCATCTTCATCACCGGATTCTTCATCGGTAAGCACGTTACAAGCGGGTGGTTCGACGTAGATAGCTTCGGCATCGAGATCTTCTTCATACCCCATCTTTAGAGCATCGTCTAATGTAAAACCACGTCTGTAACACAAAAAAAAAAATTAGGCTCAGGGCGACAAAACATTCAAAAATGATATAACTAGGTAGTGCATCGGCCTAGCGGTACCTTACGGTAACGCAAAAAATAACCTAACCTAACTATGATATCTAAATGATAATTGTTTTTTAAACTTAATAGTTTTGTCCCCACATATGTTAGGATTAAAATATGACAACTTATTAACACACAATAACAACAAATAAATTATTTAAAATACTTACACGAAGTTCGGTTCCATGTTTTTACTCACTTCACTGACGACCACTTTTTAAACCGCCGTAATTCATAGACACAATTGAATACATTGAAAACCACAAATCAGACACTTGTTTGGGTTCTATGAAAATCGAAAACCAGCGCCATCTATCAACTTTAATGCTACTTACGACATATAGCCTGCTTTACATATAAACGTGCATATGGCAATGTTAGGCTAATATGAGTTAAGCGTGCCAGATCCCAAATCTCGCCAAAAATTCATAAGAGCAAAACTAAAAACTTTCAAACAAAGAATTAATATCTTGGCTTTTGTAAAATTTGAATTTGAAACATATTATATGAGATACTTTTAGTTACCTGAAGGAAATTATGTTTGTGTAATCCGATTTAAAGGTAGTAGATACTTGCAAACTCTTAGCCAATGCCCCAAATATCTTCAATTCTTTACCGCTCGCTGCCATAATAGCTTCAGATATTTAAAACGAAATTAAGAAATCAGTTTTTGGACCGTCACTACCCTATTGCAATTGTTTATGTTCCTCTGAAACTTTTTGCCTTGTCCTTTCATTTAATTTTTTTTGTATTAAAGATTTTCGTTGCATTAGGGTGTGTGTGTGTATATATATAAGAGCAGCCTTGTTGGATACCTCCAGCCATTATGCAATAATATTTTCAGAAATTATATTTAATGAAATAAATACATTTTTAAAGAAATTAATCCAATTCATAAACTTAACACTTTGTATACTGAAAACCAGCAGCTTAAACGTAAAGTGACGTAACTGATTTTTACAACACCCTGTAGGGTCTACTATTAATCGATTTAGATTTAAAATTTTAAAACAGTCATGCCACCAGATTCTGATCTGTTAGTATAGATTTATTTTTGAATGTCTGGAATCATCCTGAGATTATGAAATTTGTCCTTCGAGTACAAAATAAACAGCACCGGGTCAAGTATGGGTCTCCTAGGAACTCCATGATTTACTCCCAAAATACTTTGATGTCTTTCAAAATTTTATTTTTAATTTTTTCCTAAACATTGTTTTGAGAATTTAGAAAATAATAATTACTTCCCTAATCAATTAAAACAAACTTTTTAGCAATGAAAACCAAGGTAAGAAACTAGAACGTTATTCTTTTGAACAGGGAATTACATTAATGTAGCATCAATTAAATACCAAAGGATCAAGATTAAAATGAAATAAAAGTTAGGAAAAATTAAGATTAAATAAACAATAATCGTTCACAGTTATATTTGTTAATAAGTATTATTTATTTACAAGTAGGCAAAAAAGTAAAAAGAGACGATTGCAGGGATAGAATTCGACGAAATCGATAGTATGAACCTGACCGTAGACCCCTGCGACGACTTTTACGAATTCGCTTGCGGCAATTTCTCGAACCTGCACGAAATCCCAGAGAACCAACTGAACGTCGATCAATTCAGCTTGCTCCAGGACAGTCTCACCAAACTAGCTAGCGGTAAGTGCCGCGTTTGAGCGAATCGAACCCCTCTACTCATTAGCTCGTTCCGATTCCAGCTATTTTGAGTATGGAAGACGAATCGGACGATCCGGACGCGCTGAGGAAGGCCAGAACAGCGTACAAAACCTGCATGGATGAACGATTAATGGACTCGGATTCGCTGCTCTCGCCCGAAGTGCAGATAGTCAACGAATATGGAGGGTTTCCATTGGTCGGGTACGGAAGCGAGCCTGCGGACTCCTTCGGCTGGTATCAGATCGCTGACCTGGCAGCAGATTATGGGATACCTTTGCTATTCAGCGTCACGACCACTAACGACGCAGTGAATGCATCGAATAATGTTCTGAGGGTAAAAAAGTTACAACAATATATTTACATAACTTCCGTAATATCCGGTATTGCACCAGAAGTACATTATAATACCGAAGGCAACTGATCACAGAACTGCAAAACACTTGTTGCATCTGATAACAGCTCTACACCTGAGCAAATAATAAATCCTGTCACGTAAATGCGCGAAAAGGCATCGACAACAAGTTAAAATTAAATATAGAGAAAAATGCGACTACAGTTAATGGAAAATATATGAAAGTTGACCAAAATTGCCTAAAGTATATGTGGCTGTACTTAAACTTCTCTCTAACTTTTGAACGACCACTGGCTGTTAATCAGACATTTGCCAGATCAGCTTTTTCTAGAAACATTAAGGGATTTATCTTGCTTCTGTAATATGTAGACGATAATAACATGTCTCCCTCCCTTCAGTCTTAATTAATTTTAATATAGTGAATGGAAAAATGTAATCTGTGTTCTGTACCTGTTATCCTCAAAACAAAATTTCATTTAATAATAACAATAATAATTTTTCAAAGAAACTTCCACAAAATACTATTTACAAATCTTCTGGACTCCTAATACGTCGGTTGTTTATGATTCAAAAATTCCTCGGACTCTCCGGATTCCTGACACTATCAACATTATTTCAGATACATAAAAAAAAACCTTCTCATCTTGATTGAAAGATGCTGGCCTGGAATATATCTTTCCATCGGTTCTCCATTATCACCAGTCATCGCGAATATGTCCATCTAAAACCAAAATTTTGGAAACGCAATATTGATGATACTTTCGTTATTTGACCAAGAATGACTTCCATATTTTCTTAGCAATTTAAACTATCTACACCCTAACATACGTTTTACATCTTACATATTCTTATCAATTCAAAATCAGATCTAACAATGGGTAATACAGTTCACAGAAAACCTGCACACACAGACCGATATCTTCATGCATTGTGACATCATCCAATAATCGTCGGTTACCAACTCTCTCAACCCGAGTCACTGACCCCAGAATTAAAATACCTTACATCTGCTCTTCTCCAAATATTTTCCGCATTAGGGATTCTATCACAAAATACACTTCACCACAATCTTCCTAAGACAACGAGTCCAAAAGGAACCCCACACTTGCCACTGTTGTTCCTCCTTACATTTAAAACGTCACTGACCACGTATCAAAAGTCCATAAGAAATAGAACCTAAAATCCAGATTTACTATCAAAGATAAATCCAAGAATCCATAGAAATGCATAAGCAACTAAACAATCTTAACCTCGAATCAGGTCTTTACCTTTCACCAATATGGAAATGTTAATGCCCCTCCTTTAGCTCCGCCCTTCTCAAACAATATGGTACTGAGTACAATACTAGCCAGTTTCAATTATGTTCCGAAGAAACCAACAGGATGAACCGACGCAGGAGGAATCGAAAAGATTTGTAAATAGTGAAAATAATAATATATTTAATAACAAGGAGGAATCGAGAAGATTTGTAAATAGTAAAAATAATAATATATTTAATAACAACACACCAGAGTTAAAACAATTACACACAATTTAGGAAAAGGACTTTTTGAATATTTTTTTTCTGTGCCGTGGTATAGTGAAAAGATGTCTACGATGTATCTTTAGATGGTGAATGTCAGCTCTAAAAAGCTTGGCTTCCAAAAGCGATAAGAGCGGATTGAGTCGAACCGGAAACTCTATAGCTGTATTACAAAACTGCGTACTCTGCGTCCCTAAATAAATTTGGGTATCATTTGCCTAAAAATGATAATAGCAATGTTTAACACATCTGCAAAACACATGAGGTATAGATGGTGTATAAAAGATGGTCCACAATGCTTAAGTTTATCAAACGCTTAACTAAAATCGAGTACCATCAAAACTATACTCAAAGGAAAATATGATCACTTTTTCAATCTAAAGCCATCTCAAAGATGTGACTGGCTTTAAAATCGGTTTGCTTCGCGGGTAGGATTTGATATTGGTCCAAAAACCAACTAATTTGTTTATCCAATATCTATTCAATAACTTTGATATAGTTGGAACTATATCAAAATTACCATGTTTACTTTCGGAAGGACACTCGCGTCTATTTCCATGGCATAGGAAAATATGCACCCAAATACATTCGTTAATTATGAATGAATCGTAGTTATTTTGATTTTGTGAGGTCCGCAAGCGTTTGATCTTATGATCCTTATGATATTCAGTATCTCGTCCTCATTTGAAGACTTAAATTCAAACTGTTCATCGAAATTTTCAAGGTAACTTTTGTTGCAAAAATTTCGCGTTTTTGATTTGGGGCAACATTGGAAACAACTAAATTCATAAAAAAAGAATAGTAGTACCAAAATACTTTTTTTCCTCGGACTTAGTAAGTATAATTTCCTCATTGTTTATAAGTCACAGTGAACTGAGTGTTTGGTTTGTTTATTCTTTCTTAACGCTTGGTTCCTAAAACTCCGAATCAACTTCAGATTATCCGTAATCCAAGGTGAAAAATTAACATTTTTGGTTTTGAGGAACTGATAGACAAGATTAATGAATTAAAATAATTCAGTTTTTCTCAAGATCAGAGTAAAATTAGTTAAAATACTTCCTCTTAAAAGGTCGATAAGAAAAGGACAACGGAGTGCTATCAATGTTATCAAAACTGCTTAAGCCAATCTTTATTTAAGTTTTAAATTTGGCACAAACAAAATCCCGGTTTTAAAAAAAAACCCTATAAATATTATTTTTATTTCAATGCAAGGTTTTTTGGCTAGCTTTTCAAAGTTTACGCACACCCTTTACCTCATCTTCTCCACCTGCAGATCGACAACGACAAGATGGATCTTCCTAGCCAAATCCGATCGAACGTTGAAACGTACGACGACATCATATCCAGGGGATTTTTCGAGCTGTCCAAACGAAGTCGCAATACAGACGCTACTCTGAGCCCGTTTGAGCTCTTCTTGCGGAGAGTGGCCCTGAAACTTAACAAAGTTTTCGGTAGGGCGGCCAGCGACGCCAGCATTTTTGAGAAGGTCGCCAACATCAGCAATTTTTTGGTGGGGATATATTACCCGGAGGTAGGCGTTTGCTGCGGGGCTAGTGCTGGTGACGATACATTAAATTTTTTCAGCAAATTCCCAGAGACGTCGAAATCGAACCGCTAGATCAAGACTCTAACCCGATAACCCTGGAAAAGTTGAACGCTTGGACCCAAAGGCATTTTGGCGACAGTGTTCAGGTAAACCCCATTCATTGGAAAACTAAATCCAAGATTTAAATCTTGCTTGACCTCCATAATTTCATCAGGTCTTTTTTCCAGCTAGACTGGGTCGAATACGTGCGCAGGTTGTTCAAATACACCAACGTAGAAATCACCAAGGACACCGAAGTAATGATTTACACCAACACCAACGTCACCCTGTACGGCGTCCTCCAGTGGGTGAAAATGAACGACCCGGAAATAGTCAAGAGTGCCGCTTTACTGAGGGTGTTCGTTTACATGGCCGCGGATAGCGACCAAGAGACCCGGGCGGACTTCGAGAACTACCTGCGGACCATCTCCAAGACGGTATACCCTAGGTGGGAGTACTGTACCAGAAAAATCGCCGATTACGACAGCGGCACCGTATCGCTCAGTTTAGCGCTGACCTACGAGTACCAGTTACGTTATTTTAACGTTAACAAACTGCAACTGGTAGGTAGCGGTACTAATTGGAATCGGTTTTGTAAATTTCCCTCCATTATTTTTGTTCAGGCGCTGCAAATGATAAGAGACATTCAGAAATCGTTCAACGAAGTGATCAACGACGCTGACTGGATGGACGAGACTTCCAAATCGGCGGCGATAGAAAAGGCCGGCAACATAGTGACCCTTTTGGGCTACCCCGACTTCCTCATGAACAAAACGGCCGTAGACAGCTTCTACCAGAACTTGAAAATATGCTCGTGGGACAATTACGGCAACTCCAAGAGGTTGAGGGCTTTCAAGTACGCCTACCAACTGAACCTGTTCAGCCAGCGCAGTCGAACGTCGTAAGTGTATACGGGAGTTCATACTTCAGCTTTTTTTAATGTTTTTTAAGAACGAAATAAGTTACATAGGTACCGCCATAAGTCGCTTGATATTTTAGATGGGAAAAATCTCCATTCGATGTGAACGCCTACTACAACAGGGCCAACAATAGAATAAGTAAGGACGCCCCACTAGAAATAACTATTCCTATTTCTAATTATTGACTTTCCAATATAGTTTTCCCGGTTGCCGTGCTGAATCCAGTTTTTTTCGGTGGATCAGTGAGGTAAGCCTGAAAATGAAATGAAATTAAATTATTCTCACCCACTATATCTTGTTCAGAGTATTTGTTATTTGTTAAAGTTTCAAGCTATGATTTGATAAAACTATAGCAGAGGAGGAAGTGTGTGTGTTTACTACATTGTACAGGTTTGTTTATAAATTTATGCAATCAGGCAAACCGGCTGATCTTAATGAAATGTTCCGACTTCTTCCATATTCAAAAAGAACAAGATTGCTTTTGAAAAATCGTCGCTGGACGGGGCAAGTTCGTAGCGTGTAGCGAGAAGCAGGTTTTGTATATCAAAAAAAGCGGTTTCTGTCCTAGAGGGACGCATTGTTTTTCCCTCGTACTCCCATGGAACACTATGCAACTTTGTACAAACCCTGTGTAAAGAAACTTTTAGGTCTCGACGAACTTTAAAGTTACGGCAAACTTTGGTAACTATTAAAATTTGTGCTGGTAAAATTATATTTTTTCAAATACCTCGCGCACCCTGTATGATAGACGAAAACTGAAACTCTCTCTCTCGTCACAATTTACGATACCGTTAAAATGAAATTATCAAATCTTTAACAATTCTTCATTTATCGCCAATAATTTACCCACAAAAACGGAATTTTTAGATTTTCTGTCCATAAACGATACACCCTGTGTATAAATCAAACAATGTTCGAAATCGACGTTATAGTCCTGGATGTCCCACGTTTGCTGCTATATAAATGTTTTCTGAAACTATGTAGTACGTCGTATTAGTAAATGATGTCATCGCGTCATTTTTTCATTTGGATTTTTCCAAATATCTCGAACAGCGTATGTGTTAGACAAAAACCGTAAATACAAAAATTGTTGTTCTCGATGTGGTCTATTTAAACCAATTAGTCATATTTTTTACGAATTTTGATGTACGGCTAAAAATTGACTATGAGAAAGAAGAATGTTCAGGTTTTTTTATATTTCTCTCGATAATCGAAAAACCCTGTATATAATCGAAAAAACACCTGCACCTGAAATAAAAGTTGTAGTCCTGGATCTCTTGACTATCCTGGCTCGAAAATTTTGCTGATCGGCTAAATAGTTTTCGAAAAAATATTTTTTTTCTATGAGCCAAAGTAACCCAAAAAAAAAATCCAAATAAAAAAAAAATGCTTTGTGATATTCGATTGCGCTTAATTTCTGGTGTTTAGGTATGGGTATGAAATTTGCAGCTATCGACTTCAAATTTGGCACATCTATTACATTTTTTAATATAGCGCAGAATATTCGGAAGAAGAAATTGACAAGAATCAAACCCTTCTAGCTATAGTGAATATAAAGTATAGTGTCAATATAAAAGTAGCCAATTTTCAGTTTTTTGCAAATTACCAACGCACCCTGTACATTTTTAAAAAACCATCAAGATAAGAAGCTTTTGGTCGGGATCTCGCGCGCCTTATGGTTTAAGAACTACTTCGATCGTATATACCGTTTTTGAGAAATGATTGTTTCTCGAACCGCTATAAATGCGGTTTTTGATAGTAATTTCCAAAAAACAGCCAAAAATCTAAAAAAAAAGATAGAGACCGATGATCGCGGCCATTTTTTATGGCTTTGTGTCTCTCGTGAGCGATTTAAAAAGAACCAAATCTGAACGTAGTGGCTCAAACGGTTTGATAGTTATGAAGATTTAATACCCCATCGATATCGACGGAGAAACAGAGAACGGAGAACAAAAAATTAAAAAAATATTTTTGACGCTGATCATTTCTGTACCAATGGAGGTCCCCTAGGACCACCCGTTGCCGAGATATAAGTTTCATTACCAAGCGTGTATACTTTCGAAAAATTCGATTTTTTGAAAGTAACAAGAAATAATCTGAATTGCATTGTTCCTCATTATCTACTTTTAGAATAATTAATTTAAATCATGTCATGTTTTAAGCAGTTCCAAATTGAGCTTTAGTGTCAATACACTCGCCCCAACGTCCTTCTTTTCTTCTTCAATTAACAGTCATAAATGGTGTTAACTGGAATTACTCTCAAAATTTGATTTGTGGTAATTAAAATTATAATTCATAAAATATGAATGAAAATAAGGAATTTTGAAAACCTTATAGGAATTCTTGTTCAATGTCTTATTTTCAGTCTCCTGGACTACAGCAGAATCGGCTCTATTATAGGACACGAGATAACCCACGGATTCGACCAGCAGGGCATGATGTTCGACAAAAACGGAAACCTGAACATCTGGGCGACCACGGAGACGATGACCAATTTTGCCCAACAATCGCAATGCTTCCAGAACCAGTACTCGGAATATCCGATTCCGGAAATAGGAAGCACCGTAAGTTAGCATTAATAACGATATTTCAGGAAAAATAATTAGCACTAAAGGAGAATTAAATCGACATTTTAAAAGAAATTTCTTAAAGGTCAATGGTGTCACGACTCTTAACGAAAATATAGCTGATAACGGCGGCACGAGGACCTCGTACAAAGCTCTGAAGAAGATGATCGAGCGCACCACCCAAAATGGCGAACTGGTGCCCCGCACGGACAAGTTCACTTGGGAGCAACTCTTTTTTATAGGCTACGGCACTGTAAGTTTATATATATATATATATATATATATATATATATATATATATATATATATATATATATATATATATATATATATATATATATATATATATATATATATATATATATATATATATACAAGAAAGTGGGAACACAATAACCTTTAGACGGCTTATAATAGCGATTTGAAATTTGGATGGGTGAATGTCAATTTTTTTGACAATGCATAGTCAATGCACTTCCGGTTTGACTGGAATCGACAGTAAATTTGCGAATTTTAAGTAGCACAACCTATATTTTTTTGCATTTTTGAATTTTGGAGATACATAGGATAGGACGGTTTTGCTTCCTTTTTTTGTTTTTTTTTTTAATTTTATTTAATTTTGGAACATGTTTCTAGGAGACTGTGACCATCATATATCTTATTGACCGGGTCACCAGGTCACGAAAACTTTGTAGAATCGGCACTTTTTTTGCAACATTTGGACACCAAAATTTTCAAAATCCGTTAAAAAATTAGCTCACAGGAAGGAAAAAACCAGATAAGTAAATAAATTTTTATAACAACAAAATACTACTTAGGTGGCTTTGGTTCTATTCGTTATTAATTGTCAAGTCGGCAAGATTAAAAATGCAGAAGAAACTCTCGACAAGCTCATGCAGTGGAAAGAAGAAAAGATTAGTATTTTTAAAAAAATATAATTTAAGGGAGAGTTTCTTCTGAGATTCAACGATTAGAATGTTTTGTTGAAAGTGTTTTATTATTGTAAAAAGTTGATATGATTTTGGAATATGGGGATACAGTCAAAAACTATCGTAAGAATTTTATGTATATGTGCGTTGGTTTTTATAAAAATGCATTTACTTATCTAGTTTTTTCCTTCCTGTGAGCTTATTTTTTAACGGCTTTTGAAAATTTTGGTGTCAAAATGTTGCAAAAAAAGTACCAGTTTTAAAAAGTTTTTGTTCCCACTAGAGCGCTATTTGAAAAAACTAGGTTATCCTAAAAAATTAATAGTTCATTACATTAAATGCTATTTGCCATTAGACAAGTAAAGAAAACTTTCATTTACAATTTTTCCCATGATCAGGCGACCCGGTGAATAGTATTTCTGATGGTCGCAGCCTCCTAGACACAATTTTCAAAAATTAAATAAAAATAAAAAAAAACTACAAAAAAGGGAAAACCCGTCCTATGTGAAAGTTACTGTCGTTTCTGCTCAAACCGGAAGTGCGACCATTGACTACATATTGTCAAAAAATTGTCAGTTATTCTTAGAGAATTTATTTAGACGTTTATTTTTGGCTCGTGTAAAGTTAAGTTTTAATTTACAATCAATATTTAGGTTTCCACTAGGTTAAAAATAAATCCTTTTTGTTTTGTTTTTTTGTTAAATAATTTACATTTTATTTGATATACCATTTGAATTTTAAATACTAGAAAACTTAAAGCTGATCACAGTATTATATTCGCTTAAAATTAGTTGCTAAATTTTTTATGAACACACCTTTTATCTTTAAAATTAAAATTAAAATCGCCAAGACGCAGGCGTTGTCGTCTTCTAATGGCTTCTGGTATCTTACGAGCGAACTGACGTCACAATCGGTCACAGCCGACGACACCGCATTTCAAAGAGGATTTAAATTTTACAATTTTTAATTGCTTAAATTTGTTATATAGAACAAAGAAACGATTTTTTTTGTGAAGTGCGGTTCTTTTGATAGCATAAACTTACTTTTATAAGCAATATTAAAATTTTATGTAAGTTCCATATTGTCCTCCCAATTATTTTTCAGCAGTATGCTTCTTCCGCACGTTTCGTCAAATATGCTACTAACTTATCCAAAGCGCAGTGTGAAAATGCAAACTTGTGTATATTTAGCGAAACGTAAGCGAGATAGAGTCAATACCCGATGCAGAAGAAATCCAAAAATAACGTACCTTCAAGTTGCACAGTGTTCGTAAGCTGTTATATTATTGGTATACTTGTAGATGTGGTGCAACAGAGAAAGTACGGCTTATCTCACTGCCGCGCAGACTTGTACGAGCAACTGTCACGCGCGCTCAAAATGGAGAGTCAATGGGGTAGTTTCCAACATGGAAGAGTTCGCGTCAGCGTTTAACTGTCTGGTAGGAAGCAAGATGAACCCCGAAAACAAGTGCAAGTTGTGGTGACAAGTAGACGTTTGTTGGTGTCAGAGTATCTAATAAAATATTTATATTTATTACCGAATGGCTATTTTGTTATCACATCTCACACATACGATATCTTGGTTTGAAGAGAAACAGCAAAATTGCATATTTCGGCTTAAAACCTCTGTCTCTGTTGCAAATAAACTTACGTGTACAGAAATCGGACCATTGTGAACTTTTGACTTGAATTTCATTTGTTCTAGAAACTGCTGATCCGATTTAAAAAAATATGTTGTTTGAAAGACAATTTAATAGACAGATAGATAGATAGATATATGGTTTATTGACTACAAAGGACATACAAAGGAAAAAAAAATAAATTGAATATATGTAAGTATATGCTAACATAAAATTGTATATAACGTCATAATATACTAAATCTAGATATACAATTTACATAACTTCACAATAAAAGCTAACGGGACAACAAATAAAAAAATAAATTTATATGTATATGTATATAGCACATTAATGCACAATGCCCCGCAACACGTCATTACCGATGTTTTCTTCAAAAAATTCATCAACGCTATAATAGCCCTTACTTAGAAGAAAACGTTTAGTTTCATATTTAAAATGTTTCTCGTTTAAAAGTTTTAAAAGAGTTTTGTTTTGATTTCTGCAACCTGTATCTCAGAAGCACGAGATTATTTGCACTCCGGGTGTCATACCTATGAGAATCAGAACCCCTCGGCAAACTATCGGTCTTGGAGTGTATCTCAAGAATACTTTAAAATATAAATATACATTGAATCGTCATTATTTTATGTTTATTAAACACTGGCTTACAGTGTTCGTTAAAATTTGAATTTGTAATTATCCGTAGTGCCTTTTTTGCATCCTACATATTTTAATGGCATAAGAGGAGTTACCCCACAGTATGATGCCGTAGTATATAGGCGAGTGAAATAAACCAAAGTAAGTTGACTTCAACACATCAAAATTCACCATTCTGCGAAGCCGACGCAAAATAAAATGCATGTATGAAAGATTTTTACTTAGCTCGCCAATGTGTTCTGATCAATTCAGAGTGTCATCCAAGGTAAAGCCCAGAATCTTGCATCCCTGGCCACATGTCAACCTACTACTACTAGACACTAATAAATTCTTCGTTTTAGATGTAGTTGTAGTTGTAGATTATTTGCTTAAAACCATGCTTTGGCCTCAAAATAAAGTATATGTTTCAATATTACTCGTTGTAGTGATGTTCCCGTTTGAATTAATAAACACAATCTCAGTATCAGGCATCATGTACTGGCAAATATCGTTTATTTATATACTAAAAAGGAGGGGTCCCAGAACGGAGCCCTGGGGCACTCCAAACTCAACGCAAGCCAAATCAGGCTTATTGTTCTTTACGCTCACAAACTGTTGTCTATCTGTTAAATAGGACTTGAAAAGTTTGAGTGGAATACCACTCACTCCATAAAATTCAAACTTGCTCAAGAGAATCTGATGAGAAGCAAGAATCATTAAGTGTTCTCTCCTTTCCAGGCCCCCGACTATGTCTTCCACCAACCTCATCAAAGCTCTAGTTGTGAACAACTTGCTTCTGAGACCAAACTGGGCAGAGTGAAGTAATAGATTTACTTCAACAAATTTATATAGCCTCTATTTTAACAGGATTTCAAAAACTTTAGAGAAAACATGCTGATGATAGAGATAGGACGATAATTATCGACCATATGAGGGTCTCCGTTTTTAAATATTGGCGTTACTAAAAATTTTAAAATACCCTTTAATGCGAGTTTAAATTGATGAAAATTTTTTAGGTTCAGCATGTCAAATTAACTGCATGAGTCAAATTAACTTTTTTTATTTTTAAAAACAAATAGCGTAACATAATGCCCTAACAACATCTCTTAATCGATTAGGCATACATATAATCAAGTTCGCTATTGTTTTTTTGTGGAATATTAAGCCACTCTTCGCCTACTGCTAATTCATATGGAAGTTTGTTCCATTTTACCTTAGCAAAATTGCAGTTGACGCCTTTCCATATATTTATTTAAACACATTTCTTCGGCTTTTGCTTCGTTTCTACGACAGGGCACGAATCACCTGACATATCAATCGATATCGAAACCTACTAGCTTGAAATCTTATTTTTGTTATTTGTTCCGGATTTATCTTGATCAAACAAATTTGTTATACGTGACTGAAAAGCATTTTTAAAAGGGATTTTGAAAAAGTAGAAATTTATTATGGGGCCCTTAAGAAAATCAAAAGTTGATTTCTTTTAACCATATCTTGAAAATTTGAACGTTTCAGCTCCTATAAGGAAGATATTGTGGTTTTTCAAAAATGGTCGATTTTCTTTTTCGGCCTGTATCTAAACTTGCGTGTATAGAACTCGACCCATTGTGAACTTTTGACTTCAATTGATTTATTTTTTTTGAAACTAGTGACCAGATAAAAAAAAACTGTTTTAAAGATAATTTAGTATGCTTTAAAACGAGTTTAAATTGAATTAAATTAATTTCTGCTTTTTAGGTTTACCATAGTAAAATTACTGCACGAGTTAAATTAACTTTTTTTTATTAAACAAACGGGGTAATTGACAATTAGCAACTCGACACTTATTTTTTAATAATCGTTAAGACCTCCTCTTGCCCTAATAACATCCCACAAATGTTCGATCGGATTGAGCTCGAGACTGCATGCTGGCCACTCCATAACTCGAAAACCGAGGTAATGTAATCTTGCATTATCCTTGCGGTGTATGGCATTGTCATAAATAAAAATTATTTCTTTTCCAATGTAGTCGATATATGGTACCACGTAATATAGATAGATAGATAGATAGTTTTATTCACAAAGCCCAGAATGTATACAGTGGATGTTTCGTCAGGAAACGAGTACATTATAAAGTGTTATAAAGATACATGGAATTATGTATATAAACAATATGATAACACACATTTATCAGTACAGTATAGAACAGTTACAAATGGATATACAAACAGTACAAACATATTGACAAAATGTAGAGAAGATATCACTAAACTCATCAGGGCACTCCTGTAATATATGTTTCAAATTCTTTCAGGTAGTAGAAAGCATTGGTTGACAGAAGCTTTCTGATGCACTTTTTAAATTGTCTTGTAGATAATGCTTTTATGCTTTTAGGAAGCAAATTATAGTAATTTAGCGACTTTTTGTAGAACGTGTGGTTCAGTCTTGGCTTTAGAAGGTGTTCTCTGTTTCGGGTGTTATAACCGTGGACATCCGTGTGTTTCTTGTGAGAGCCTTTATTTTTAAGAACGATGATGAATAATTTAAATAAATATATGCAAGGCACTGTTAGTATTTTATACTTTATAAATATATCTTTGCAGGATAGCCTCGGGGGCAGTCTGAAAATCAACCTAAGTATTTTTTGCCTCTCCGCATCACTCGCTTGTCCCCAGTTTACGATATTATATGAAATAGACGAGTATGAAGAATCTCTGATTGTTAACATTGCAAAAAACGTTTTGTTCGGTTTATTACAAAGTCTACCTATGTCGTAGTCCCGTAATTCCACACGTGAACCCTCAAAGCTGAACGCTAGGTTAGTCAGAGGTTTAACGTACTGACCAGTGAATTCGATCGCAACAGTTTTTTCCAAATTTATGATCAAATGATTCTGTTTGCAAAAATCAACAAACTGTGCCTCAACATTAGAGAACCTATTGATCAGCTCCTGAGCTTTTCTTCCGGAGGCGAAGATGGATGTGTCATCCGCGTACATAAGAACGCGGCAGTTGCTATTGAGGAACTCAGGAAGGTCATTCACATACAGAAGAAAAAGTAGTGGACCTAAGATTCCTCCCTGGGGCGTGCCTAAGTTGACGTTGAACGGTTCCGAGTATATTCCATTCACTTTGGCCCTTATTTCCCTGTGTTTCATATATGATATTACCTCGAAACCCCAGGCATTCTAGTTTTTTTGCCATGATATTCAAATCTTAGGAATGGAAGGCGCCCGATAGATCAAAAAACCCTCTCACCCATGTCGATTTTGACGTAGATATACTGGACATTAGTCCCCGTTTCCGTTGAGTAACCAACACGGAAACCATGTTGCACATTCGATATAATGTTTTCTTGCTCCAAAAAATGTGTCATTCTGTCGTACATGGCCTTTTCGAGTACTTTAGAGAACCAACCTGCGATTGTTATAGGCCTATAATTCTCTATTAGCTCAGAGTCTCCCTTTTTGGAACACAGGAATCATTTTTGATTTTTTCAATAAAATATCCTCGATGTACCCCATATCATACAGGAACCACCTCCATAAGGGCTTTCCTGGTACACTTTTTTTCGTCGGTCACTACCGAAAAGGCATATTCTGTTTTCATCTGAGAACAGAACAGATCTCCTTGGTCCAATGACCAATTTAGATGATTCCTAGTCACTTTTCGAACTTCATGGACTTGTTGTTGGACTTGAAGCACATTAAGGTGACGAGTTCTTATTCTTATTGACACAATAAAACGGTCATCACGAGCCGTTGTAATTCGCCTTCTGACCGTTCCAGGGCCCCTAGCAAAGGATCCAGTCTTCTCATACCGTTGGCATACTCATCGAACTGCATCAGGCTAACACAATTAAACGCTATCCCAATGGTTAAAGACGAATAATGCGAAAATTTCAGTTGCAAAGGCGATTAATGTAAGCCTATAACAAGTTTGTTACTATTACTATAACTACTGCATTAACACCTTTTATTTGTCTATCCGTAGCTACCCATATAAAAGATCGGCACTCTTGATAAATTTAAACTCCTACTAAAGCATACTAAATTGTCTTCCAAATAGCATGTTCATTTTTTGTCAGATTGATAGTTTCTAGAAAAAAAAATACTCAAACCAAAAATGTACAGTGGGCCTATTTCTATGCACAGACCTTTTCCCGTAAAAATCGGAATCCCCGGGTCTTATTGTTACAAAAACAGAAGATATCAATTTAAAAGCGCTCTGTCTGGGTCAAATGGTTGCCTTTCCTTGTCGATTTTGATTAGATCAAAATCAGCTTTTTCGCCACTTATTGCACCGA